CACTGGAGGAGATGTGGCCGTGGTTGCTGAGCTTCCAGAGAGTGGTGCAGTTGTTTCTGTCCCTGCAGATGATGCTGCGGTGGTTGAGGCTACCTCAGATGCTACGGTAGGCGTGGTTGTCACGCTACTGGTTTGTGCAGTGGACCCAGCCTGGAGAGTGGAGGCTTCTGTGGAACCACGGACCACAGATGTTGATGCCACTGGGGCTGGGGTCGAGGACGAGGAGGATGTGGTGGAGGTCGAGGTGGAGGTTGATAGTGTCGCCTCAGCTGTGGACAACTCCTTTGGGGGTGCTGCTGTGCCAGCTTGTGTGGTGCTGGTTCCTGCTGTTGCAAGAGTTGATGCCTCTGGAGGGCCTGATGTCACTGGAGGAGATGTGGCCGTGGTTGCTGAGCTTCCAGAGATTGGTGCAGTTGTTTCTGTCCCTGCAGATGATGCTGCGGTGGTTGAGGCTACCTCAGATGCTACGGTAGGCGTGGTTGTCACGCTACTGGTTTGTGCAGTGGACCCAGCCTGGAGAGTGGAGGCTTCTGTGGAACCACGGACCACAGATGTTAATGCCACTGGGGCTGGGGTCGAGGACAAGGAGGCTGAGGTGGAGGTTGATAGTGTCGCCTCAGCTGTGGACAAGTTCTTTGGGGGTGCTGCTGTGCCAGCTTGCGTGGTGCTGGTTCCTGCTGTTGCAAGAGTTGATGCCTCTGGAGGGCCTGATGTCACTGGAGGAGATGTGGCCGTGGTTGCTGAGCTTCCAGAGAGAGGTGCAGTTGTTTCTGTCCCTGCAGATGATGCTGCGGTGGTTGAGGCTACCTCAGATGCTACGGTAGGCGTGGTTGTCACGCTACTGGTTTGTGCAGTGGACCCAGCCTGGAGAGTGGAGGCTTCTGTGGAACCACGGACCACAGATGTTGATGCCACTGGGGCTGGGGTCGAGGACGAGGAGGCTGAGGTGGAGGTCGAGGTGGAGGTTGATAGTGTCGCCTCAGCTGTGGACAACTCCTTTGGGGGTGCTGCTGTGCCAGCTTGCGTGGTGCTGGTTCCTGTTGTTGCAAGAGTTGACCCCTCTGGAGGGCCTGATGTCACTGGAGGAGATGTGGCCGTGGTTGCTGAGCTTCCAGAGAGTGGTGCAGTTGTTTCTGTCCCTGCAGATGATGCTGCGGTGGTTGAGGCTACCTCAGATGCTACGGTAGGCGTGGTTGTCACGCTACTGGTTTGTGCAGTGGACCCAGCCTGGAGAGTGGAGGCTTCTGTGGAACCACGGACCACAGATGTTGATGCCACTGGGGCTGGGGTCGAGGACGAGGAGGATGTGGTGGAGGTCGAGGTGGAGGTTGATAGTGTCGCCTCAGCTGTGGACAACTCCTTTGGGGGTGCTGCTGTGCCAGCTTGCGTGGTGCTGGTTCCTGCTGTTGCAAGAGTTGACGCCTCTGGAGGGCCTGATGTCACTGGAGGAGATGTGGCCGTGGTTGCTGAGCTTCCAGAGAGAGGTGCAGTTGTTTCTGTCCCTGCAGATGATGCTGCGGTGGTTGAGGCTACCTCAGATGCTACGGTAGGCGTGGTTGTCACGCTACTGGTTTGTGCAGTGGACCCAGCCTGGAGAGTGGAGGCTTCTGTGGAACCACGGACCACAGATGTTGATGCCACTGGGGCTGGGGTCGAGGACGAGGAGGATGAGGCGGAGGTCGAAGTGGAGGTTGATAGTGTCGCCTCAGCTGTGGACAACTCCTTTGGGGGTGCCTCTGTGCCAGCTTGCGTGGTGCTGGTTCCTGCTGTTGCAAGAGTTGACCCCTCTGGAGGGCCTGATGTCACTGGAGGAGATGTGGCCGTGGTTGCTGAGCTTCCAGAGAGAGGTGCAGTTGTTTCTGTCCGTGCAGATGATGCTGCGGTGGTTGAGGCTACCTCAGATGCTACGGTAGGCATAGCTTACATAGAAAAGGCATATATCATCTTTAGTGGGATATTCTTTCTTGTTCTTCATATTAACTGTGATTTTTCTTTTTTGTATTCATTATTCTTCTATGGTATGTAACTTTTGTGTATAATGGTTATTTTATGTTTTTATGTTACCTATCATTTTTTATATTTCAATCCTTAGCATATGCAACCTCATTATTATCATTGTGCTAACATCTTTGTCTATCCCTTTAATCTATGCAGAGATTTTAATTTTAAGTTCTTTTCATGTACGTCATGTAGAATTTTCTCACTTTGTCCTTCACATTTTTTGGTGGTTGCTTCAATAATCTTTTTCACGTTTCCTGCCTGTTTGTTCCAATTCGTCTGTTCCAGGCATTATTTTGTCTAACTGCATTGTGAGCTTCTTATATCTACCTGAAACCTTCTTATCAGAGGTGTAACTGACCTGTATCCAATGCTTCTGTATGCAACTGTGGTTACTGCAGTTTAGAACCCAGACCAGTGTCCAAGGGCAATTCTGTGACAGCAAGGTGCCACAGCTTTCATGCCATTTCAGTATTGAAAGCTAGAAGGTAACATGTGTCAGTATTTTCTATATTATATAAATTATATACATGTAATAAATTCACATTTATGTCTAATAATTTTAGTTCATTGTGGAGTTGCTGATTATATACCTCTTTGATTTTAAAACTTAAGTTTTTGTTCAAAGATCCTGTAGATCTTTTTATCTTGTAAGCTGTGAGAATTTCACCTCCAAATGTACTGTCTAGTTCACTAGGCTAAGCTCCCACTTGTGAACCCCTCAGAGCCCCTGTCATGGCCACTGGACTTGAGTCACACTGCTCCTTCTGATCCAGCTTCCTGTTAATTCACTGGCAGGCATCAGAGAGTGGAGTGTGTACTGGTTTACCTGCCACTACTATGGGAAACCCAGGGGTTCCTGGCTCCTGGCCGAGGCATGGATACTGCGGTCATTCAGAGAACCGTATCAGCAGAGGGAGCACCTCCAGCTCTCCCCCACCCCATTGGTCAGTTTTTCAAATGAACACAGCTTTTAAAATATCAGCAATTGGGCCCTGCACGATAGCATAATGGTTAATGTCCTCGCCTTGAACACATCAGGATCCCATATGGGCACTGATTCTAATCCCAGCTGCTCCACTTCCCATCCAGCTCCCTGCTTGTTTCCTGGGAAAGCAGTTGAGGACAGTCAGAGCCTTAGGACCCTGCACCTGTGTGGGAGACCAAGAAAGAAGTTCCAGGCTCCTGCTTTTGGATTGATGCAGCAGCGGCCATCGTGACCACTTGGGGAGTGAATCATTGGATGGAAGATCTTCCTCTCTGTCTCGTCTCTCTTCCTCTCTGTACATCTGCCTTTCCAATTAAGTAAATAAATCTAAGGAAAAAAAAATCTGCAAATGAAGTTCTGAGCTCTTATTGCAACCCTGTTTTAACAATAGATGATATTCAGCATACACAGAGTTGTTACTATGTTTCAAAGTCATATAAAATAATTTGTTCTTTTGAGTATCATGTGGTTCACTAGTTTGTTTCTAAATTTAGAGTTTAACTTTTATTTTTCACTTTAAACTCATATTTTCACTTTTTTTCTTAAAAAGCCTGTATTTAGAGGAATATGCAGGACTTCTGCCCTGATTTGTGCTTGACAACTATTTTTATCATTTGCCAGTTGTTTTTTGTTTGTGTGTTTTTAAATATATTTGCATCAGCAAATATCTTCCTGATGTTTGTCTAGGTTTGCTGGAAGTACTTTTTTTAACTTCTGGTGTGTGTGTGTGTATGTGTGCGTGTGTGTATATGTGTGCGAGTGTGCATGTGTGCATGTGTGTATGTGTGTGCATGTATGTGCATATATGTGTGTGCGTGAATGTGTGTGTGTGTGTGTATCTTTTGCCCTTGGTCTGGGTTCCCCTGGAGCAGCAGTGGTCACTGGGTGGTAAGAGGCTTTGTGTGGCTGCCCTCTTGGATGGATTTTGCAGATGCAGGGCAAACGTGAGCTTCACTTCACCTTCTGATTCAGAATGGCTACCTGCTGCCTTGCCTTGGTTCACCTCACGTGCCCACCTTCCACACCTCAGATCGAGGGATTCCTCTGTCTTTCCACACATCTCTGCCCCTGAGAGGTGGCAGGGCCCTTCCAACACTCCCAGTCCACACTCCATGCACCCAACCCAAGTCCTTCCTTCAACTCCAGGGTCGCCAGCACCCTAACATCCAGGCTTGGGTCTCACACCTGCCTGCACTCAGTTGGGGCTGGTACTGAATGACTGTGCTGTACGTTCCCCTTTCAGGCATGCCTGATGCTTGCCTCTCTTCAGGATGTCCTGAATCTTAGCTCCTCAGAGTCTCCCATGTCCTTGCATCCTCAATTGCCTCTGCCCCATCTCCTGTTCAACATCTGAGACCTGCACCAGTCTTGTAAATCTCCTGTATAGGACTTTCAGGGTCTGGAAGAATATGCATCCATAGAACCTAACTTATGCAGACATCACTTTCTTGTGCTTTAAAAAAAACAATTTTCCATTGATTGATCAAGTTTAAATGACACTAAATTCTACCAGCATCAGCACACATTAGTTATCTGGTTGGTACTATGTTTACCTCAAGTGCCTTGTGCTTCTTATTAAATCATTGGGGCTTTGTGAAGGTGGAACCAAGCCACACAGGGCAGGACTCTGGGGTTAGCAGGTTAGCTCTGAGGTTTAAGAACTAACCCAGGTCTCCAGTCAATGCCCAGGACAAGAGAAATGGCACTGGACGCAAACCTGATGGTTGTCTGCAATGCTGGAGATCAGAAGTTGGGCTCCACCTTCACTCTCCTGCTGGCCATTTCCATGCCTCATTAAATGCCAGACACGAAAAAGCAGCAGCCCGTGCCCTGGGCTCAGCACCGCAGTAAGCACAGAACAGATACTTGTTAGAAGATTTCCAATGTGGTGGACAGTAGGTGCTGCGTCAGTAACTATTTTTGGGTTCCTCAGGAACCTCTATTCCTAAGTAAGGCTTGACTGAACATCTCCCATGCCCACTGCCTGCACCTCATGCACTGTGCTGCTCAGTACCTGTCCCTCCAGACATGTTCTCCACTGCTGCTGCTGTGGTGTGCACACCTGCTCCTGCTGATGTTCCTAAGTGAACAAAAAACATCATGGCACTTAATGCATGAGGGCAGGGCAGAAATAGTTCCATTCAAGTCATTGGGGCTCAAGAATGTTATCCCTCATTCTGCCCCCTTAACAGCATCATCATGGGCTAGACTCATCCCAGTCCCCCATTGCAGATCATCCTCACCTGCAGGGTCTGCAGCGCTGGTGGACCCTCTGCTTGCTCCTGTGCTGGTGGACCCGCTGCTTGCTCCTGTTGTACCTGACAAACAGGATAGCAAGAGTCTCAACAAACAGCACTTCTGAAGGGACGAGATTGGGGGTCTCAGCCCACAAATCCCGTTTCCACATCCCCATCATTTGTGCAGCAGCACCCCCATGCTGCTTCAGGGGCACTGACATGCATGTTCTGACCCACCTGATACCCCCAGGCTGGTAGCTGTGGTGCTCAGTCCCACGGCTGTGCTGCCTTTCTCACCACTGGGTTTGGGTGGTGCAGTGGGGCCACCTGATCCTGCTGTTAAAACATGACATGTAAAATCATCCCAGCGCTGACAGTGTGTTGCGGTAGGTAAAGCTGGGGCCTGCAGTGCCAATTCAATCCCCAGCTGCTCCATTCTGGACCCAGCTCCATGATTATGGGCCCAGAAAAGCAATGAAAAATGCCACAAGTATTTGGGCACCTGCATCCACCTGGATCCACCTGCATCCATGTGGATGGTACAACTACAACAAGCTCCTGGCTTCAGCCTGGCCCATCACTGACTGCTGCAGCCGTTTGGGGAGTGAACCAACAGATGCAAGATCTTTCTATTTCTCCCTCCAGTTTGGTCACTCTGCTTTTCAAATAAATAAATCCTTTTTAAAAATATTTCCAAAGTTGTGAAGAGACACGTTAATTTTTGTATTCTCATTTTCCATTTTACAATTTTGCAGGCATAGGCCTTCCCCCACCACATCTCCACTGGAGACACATTAATTTCTACAAAACATTTTGAGCTTGAAAACACAGTACTCCCACTTCTCTGACCTACTCCAGGGCCACCAGAGATCAGCAGCCCAGCCTAGATGTTCACCTCTAATCCACGGCCGGTTCTCAAGAATCTGAGCCAAAAAGCTAGTTCTAGAAAATGCCCATCATTTCTGATGTGGATGTTTGAAACAAGATGAAAAAGTAAAACAAGGAAGCTCCAATTCCCAATTTAGGAACCATAAACCTAATGTTCTTCACCCAAAATTGCAGTCTGCATGCTCCTCTAAATGGAATTTGTCAGCTCTTGGGCAGCACTGCTGCACGCTGATTAAAGCCTCAACCCAACACCTCTTAAGGCAATCAATCTCATCTCAGAATACATTTCTATTATAATCATCGATCCAGGCAAGTCTGTGAAGGTAATAGAGCAATCAGTCAGACCACAGATGGTCCAGGTAAGAAATGCACACAGTGACATCCCACTCTGCACACCAGTGACTTCCAGTCACACGCCAAGGAGCTGGGAGTCACCTTCAATGCATCAGAACAACTGAAGAATCTGAATGAACACAGTGACATGGTGACTGTCACCTTCTGGAGGCACATTCTGGGAGGGAACTGGACAGGAGTGGGCTTGTTGGAGCTGGGGTTCTTTGTTTGAAGAGCCTGCAAGGCCTAAAGGATGCATTCAGGCACTGCATGCCTGGTTCCACCTGGACACTCTGCCTCTCGGCAGGTAGGCTCAGAAGCTCCCGGCAGATGTGGACACCTCCACTGTGGATACAGCCAGCACCTTCAGAGCCCCTGGGTGTCAGGACAATGAACTCTTAAGAGGACCCAGGGTCAGGGTGACGGGAAAGGGGAGGGATTCAAACACATAAGCAGAGAGGATGGAATCTTAGAGGTTCTTCACGTCACCACTGTTGGTGGGAAGGGCACTTGGCTGTTATAAAGAAGTCAAGGATACTTATTCACACAGCTAGTAAGTTAAAATGCAATAGTTTCTGCACATGGGCAAACCCAAGCTCATTGACTTGTACTGGATGGCTGCCCTGCCACTCAGGTCTCCAAGCTGGGAGCCACCAGTGGTTCATGAGAATTGGAATGCTGGGATTGGACCCTGCCTCAGCCACTGTGCCTCAGCCAGCCCAAGAACCAAAACTGGGTTCTTACTCACAGGAATAGTCTCACTTGAACACCACTGAGTTATCACAGACTCAATTACAGAACAGTATATCATTATAACAGAGAGCTGAGTGTACAGTGGAAAGCACAACTTTGATATTTATGACATTTCCTCCCAGTCACACAGAGGTCCTACACCACTCTGACTTCGGCGCTTTAGTTACCCAAGGCTATTCTCAGGGCAAATTGTTGCATGCTGGAACAGGCTTCACACAGTGCCTGACACAGAGCACCGACAAGCTATGGGGGACAGCATTTGAGCCCTTTCTTCATCTCACCTGATCTGAACCCTGCTCCATGCGTCCTTAGACTGCCAGCTCCTGTTGTTACACCTGAGGACACTCCAGATGTCCCTGATGAACATAAAGATGTATCAACAGGGGGCAGCAAGTTGTGACATTGGCCTTGCTGCTCCTAGTTAGTTATGATTGCTTCTCAGGCATCACAAAAATGCCTGACACAGGGAATGGACAGCCCACACTGTCCACTTCCCTGTGTCCTCATGGGTGCTTCTTCATGCTAATTACCTGGCGTGCTGCCAGCCAAGGTCATGGTTGTTTCTGGTGAAGCTGCATGGTCAGCCACAGTGGAGTGTACAGAAACTTCTGTGATCTCTGAAATAGCAACAGGTCAGGGAAGGGAGATGGCTGCAAGACTGAGAGAACATGGAGTTGTGAGAAAAGCAACGGGAACTTGTGCAGGTTCCTCAGCCCTGAGCCTATGCCAATCCCAGCCTGATGACCCAGCAGCACCTGCCGCGGGAAGCGGGGGTGGGGCAGCCCTGTGGGCCGCCCAGGAATCTTACCAGCGGCTGTGGTCCCGCTGGTGGCTCTGCCAGTCGCTGCCGCAGCCGATGTCCCTGGTGTGCCGGATACTTATTGGGGGGAAAGTACAAAACAACAAAAACAGTGTTATACAAGCAACCTGAAGTATGTTCAGTTTGCCCCTTTCACAAAGATGGGTGCATCCACCTCATCAACTTCACGGGCAAGTTCAAATATTAAACATAAAGAAGGGTAGCTGGTAAGCCTAAAAAAATTCTGATTTCAGTAAGTCATTCTTTGCCACTAGGGTAAACACGTGGATACTGCAATGTCTTCCACTGAAATTCTTTGTCTCAGACGAGTGCATTCCACCACAGCATACCCAGCCCCACCTCTACACCGTTCATTTTTAGTCCTTTACATGCACATCAATATCAAGTGAGAACAGAGTATGCAGATCTGCACAGAGCAGGAAGCATGATATTGGCTGCACAACCAACCCACTCTACAATGCTCCAGATCATGTGGACGCAGGCCACCTCAGACAGAAGATGTTGCTCTCTTCCAGCAAACCACGAGCCTAAATGCAAGTAGCTCTTGTGTCCACTGCCTGTGCAACATGCCACAGGCTGCTCTGTATGTGCTCCTCCCAATGTGTTTGCATGTGCAGATCCCATGGTACCCACACCCGCTCCCATTCCTGAGTGGAAGAATGACAGATTTTAATGCTTGTGACTATGCTGAATACGCTCTTTCTGGACAGTTGGTAGTTGCATTCACCTCACAGATTTCTACATCAATTACCCTTGCCATGTTCCATGTTCTTTAGGTGGAGCCATCTCCACCCAAAAGGAGTCCTGTCTCACCTGTTATGTCTGCAGGGCTGGTGGTCCCACTGCCCACTGCTGCAGATGAGCTTTCCATGCCTGTCCCAGTGCTGGCGTCCGCAGATGCTGCTGTTATACCTGACAAACACAGTAGCAGTGATTTCAACCAACAGTCCTCCTGAAGGGACCAGAGCGAGAGCCTTGGCCCATGATTCCCTCTGCTTCCGTAGTCCCACCATTTATCCAGCAGTCCATCCCGAGATGTGCATCCATGTCCCTGACACGGACATGGATGTCCTGACCCACCTGATGTCCCTGGGCTGGAAGTTGTGGTGCCAAATCCTCCAGGAGTGCTGCCATCCTCAGCACCTGGGGTAGGTGCAGTGGAGCTTTCTGTTCCTACTGATGAGATATGGCAATAAAAACATGCAGTGTGAAATCAATACATTGCATTCCATAAAAGTCCCCCAGGACCAGAAACATTTAGATTCTCATCCATCAGACATGGCTGATTGACTTGTTCAAGCTAAGCCTTTCTATATACAGCTCACCAGGAACAAGCCAACTCCAATGATCTGTGACAAAGGACCACCTACTAGACACTTTGGAAATGCCATAAACAAACACATTTTTCAAAAATAAAAAAGCAGCACATCATATTTTGTTCAGCAGACATGGATCCTTAGGTCAACTGCTGTTTCTAAATTGCTGTTGTCTGCTTCAATTCTTTTCACAGCATGTGCCAGCAGCTAATGGTGACACCACCTTAAGATCAAATTCAAGCAGCCATCCTCTAACCTCTGTGCACCTTGCCTGATGCACAACCTAGAGAGAGGAGTACTATAAATAAACTACCAAAGAAGTCACATTCACATTTCATGGAATATACACTGAATGGCCTGGACTCCAGAGCACATCAAGTGTCCCGTTCATCCTTGAGCTGCCCAGGGTCTGCCACAGTGCAGAACATGGAGACTGGACTACCCAAACCAATGTGTTTGTGAAAAGCATGCCATCCGCCATGACATCTTCAAGTACAGCATGACCAAAGCAACTGAGATGCAAGAATAAAAAAATCAGGCCAAAGGTGAGTTAACAAATGCATCGACAAAAATCCTATTCCTACACAAAATGATGTCTTCACGGCAGATGACAACTGCTTTGATCTGTCTTTAAAGCAGTCTGATGGTGGAGGAATCTTGAGTAGCACAGGGACACGATGATCTGTGCTTCCATAAGTACACCATGTGGACCAGAGCATAAGCTGAGGAGAGTGGGGGAAATGTGCTGACCAGTCACGGTTCTCCACCCCACGAGCCTCCAGTGCCTCAAGCACATGATCCACCACTGTCTACTCTGCACCTCTGCAAGTTTCCACGGCAGGCCAGCTCGGAAATGGGAGTTTCTGCCACGTTTCCATCACATGCAGGTGCAGGATGCACACTCAGAGCCCCTCAGATGTGTCAGGAAGACCATCTGGGATAGGACTGGAGGACAGGACAGAAGGGATAGCAGCCAATCCAGAGATGCAGAGGAGAAGCGGCCAAGGAGTTCTGACTGCAAGTGACTGGCATACACCCACAGGCACACTCCCACTGCACTGACAGACAGATAGATCCCCAAGTGTGCCGGTGCCTATTACACACATGGCTCACAGTCTACGATTTCTCCCTGCTAGTCAGCAACAAGACTTACTATTTTCACACCTGAGGGAAATAATGAAATTGTACCTACTGCAATGGCATTACTGTGGACCTAGTTACAAAGTTAGTATTTGAGTATAATGCAGAAATCTTAATGTGTTTTGAAGACATGATGACTAAATTCCACTACAATATAAACATGAATTAGAGCATTTTCCCCACATTCATACAGTTGACTCTCTAGCTGTTTCCCATCCCCTTAACTAAGGCTGTGCTGCGGTTCAGGAATTGCTGGGTTGGAACCCAGCACTGCTTCTGGAAAGAAGGAATGGAGATCAAGTGATCTCTTCCCTGTCTCACCCACAGTGACACTGATTTCAATTATACTTCCCTTCTCAGCTCCTGTGTTTACACCCGGTAATGCCCCGGTGGTCCCTGATGACAGTAAAATGCACAATAAATACATCAACCCTTGATTAAAACAGTGCCTGGCTCTGCAATCTATCAAGGTAATACTCCGTAACACGAGATCCTTGGGAAGACTGCAGAGGGTACATTTTAATTACTATAGGCATCTCCACTTAAATCAGGTATTTTTAATGAGAAACATGTGAGCGTCACTGCCTGAAACCAGCTGCTGTGAGCACAGGCAGTTTCCAGAAAAGGAAGGATGTTATCCCTGCACGTTCCTCAGCCCGGCATCCTAGTCCCATCTCAGCCAGACTAGGCAGAGAAGCCAGGGGAGCTCCTGAGCATCGACTTCAGCCTGGTACATCTTTCCAGGACCTGCGGCTCTGGTGTCTCCCCCTGCCAGGTTACTGCTGCTTCCCACGCCCGAAGTTGCCAGTGCTCAGCCTGAGCTGTGCTTGAAACTTATCAAGAGGGAAAACACCAGCTTAAGAGGTAAGGTCACATCTCTTACGAAAGTGACTGGAAGCATGTTTGTTGCTTTTCCTTTAACAAAATGTGCACGTTTACCCCAAAATCAATCTCTGGAAGTTAGGATCATCAACATAAAAGAGGGAAAACAGGAGACATCATAGGTGCTAATTCCAGAACAGCATTATTTCTTAAGGTCTGTAATCGCTGGATAGTGTAATGCTGTGCTGACATGCCTTCATCTCCGCATTCTACATCCACCTCACACTGCGGCCGACACGCCACACACCTCTAACCTTTATTCTCTGTCTTCTACATGCACACGGCCATGAATTCTGACTTGATAAAGTGAGGAAGAATGAGAACAGATCCACAGAGTCACAACATCTGCATACTTCCAAGAGCAGGGAACTCAACCTTGGATACATGAAATACGATCTGGATTATCTCAGCACTTATGAACTTACTAATTCTTCGGTTCCTGAGGACCCCTTGTCCTCCAATACATTTTAAGCAAACTCGCCCTTGTCCAGTGCCTGCATTTCCAGCTGCTGTGCTGGTCAGTACCTGGCCTTCCAGATGTGCTTCCAGCTGCAGATTTCGTGCTGTCTGCACCTGCTCCTGCAGTGGCTCCCAATGGGAGAATAACAGTCCTCATTATATATGGTTATGGAGAACACATTTCTTCCGGACAGCTTGGTTTACATCATCAGATTCTGCAACATCACTTAACTTTGCTGCTTGTGTTGGGGTCTTCTGCTGGACCTTACCTGCTGGGTCTGTGGTGCTGCTGATCCCAGTCTCTGCTGTTCTGGGTGAGCTTCCCCTGCTTGCTCCCGTGCTGGCACCCACAGACATCCCCGTGGTACCTGGCAAACACAGCAGCAGTGGTGTCAGCAAACAATGCTTCTGAAGGGACAAGGGGGAGAGGCTGAAAATCTCCCTCTAGCTCAACAGCCTCATCGTTTACCTGGCAGCCCAGCTGTTGGCAAGCGTCTGGTTTATTTACTAGGCACATTCATGTCAAGGCTCACCTGATGTTCCTAGGCGTGTAGCTCCCGTACCTGGGCTCCCAGATGTGCTGCCATCCTCACTGCTCGGGGTGGGTGCAGTGGGGCTTCCTGCTCCTAACGAGGAAACACAACAACAAAACGTGGACCACACCTCAACCAACTCCTTGAACTCTGCAAAAACTCTCCAGGACCAGCAACATTTTTAAAGGTTTACTTACTTAAATTTATGATTTGTTTATTTGAAATTCAGAGCTAGAGAGAGAGAGATCGATTTTTCTGTCTATTGTTTCACTTTCTAGATGGGTGCAACCGTCGGGGCTGAGCCGGAATGGGAGGAAATGACAACAGGCTACCCAGAGCACAGGTGAATGAACGCAGAAAACCAAGCAGACCCTGCTCAATGCTGACTACGAGAGGAGCGCCAGTAACTCCTTATCACCCACACTTACAGGATGTGTAGGATGCCTTCTTCATGACACTAACACACTGCGGTTGATGACACACAGACAAGCATGTTGTCTGTGCACTGTGTTCAATACTGGCTGTGACACTACGATCTCAACGCTGTGCCACTGCCTGCCGCACCTGCAGCTCGGATTCCGCGTTCTCATCCTGCTTGTCAGCAAGACTTCCGTTTTCTCATCTCAGGCAAACAACGAGATGTTACCATCTCGGTATCAGTGCTGACTGAATGACAGGGTATGTGACTAAGCGTAATTCAGAAATCTTAGTGCAATGGAGATCTCAGCCATTAGATTTGACTTCAATATGAACATGAATGATTAGATTTCCCAAAGTGCACACAGTAAGACTTGGCAGCTCTGACTCTTGACTGAATATCCAATAGTGCTGTAATGCTGAAATCCAGCACTGCTTCTAAAACAAGCAATGCACAAGGACAGTGGCCCTGCCCCATCTCAGCTGCACTGTCACTTGTGTCACATGTAGCTCCACACACAATTTCTGCAGTTATACTTGCTGATACTCTAGGGGTTCCTGATGAAGATTAAAGTATAAATAAATTCTTGGTTAAAACAGTGCCTGACTGTACTGTCAAGGGAATGGACAAACGGAATTGTAGCATGATACATGCTAAGAAAATCCTCAGTGGAAATCCCATCATTACCATAAAGGAGTAATCGCCAACATCCGGTGCTTTTATTGGGAAAACTACACTCAAGAGTGACACTGTCCTAAACAAGGTGCTCAGCTGCACCTGTCGCATGGGTTACCTGAAGTGACCCCAGGGCTGGAAGCTGCAGGGCTCAGTCCCCCTGTGCTGTGGGTACTCCCAGCCGTTGGGAAGGAAGCTGAAGTCCCAGGAACACCTGAGGAGAGACAGAATATTCTCATCTACGTTCTACGTGGACTTCTCTATCAGTGGGTGATCTCACTGCCCAACCAATTCCTAATGCAGGATAGAAAGGAGTCCAGTCACTTTATGCCCATGTTTTCCTCTAATCTTACTTTTTCAAAAGTTTTGGTTTAGTTTTCCTTTTTTTTTCAAATATTCTTTTCTACATCTGAATTTGCTCACACTATGTCCTCCACAACAAGTCCCAGCAATTTTCCTTTAAACACAGCAGGACTTTTTGTCCCATTCATATTTACTGTGGGTTAATCACAAGCATGAGGAAATTATCTCCATATCATATAATTCCAAAATATAGAAATATCCCTTTTTATTCTTCCCAATGTAAAATACTTCTTTAAAAGCCCTGTTATTAATAATTCTTGCTGTTGGATATTTCTGCTTTATATACAAAGAGAAGACTCCACATACTAACCTGTTGTAGAAAGTTCTGAGAAGGGATTCGATGTTGTTTCTGTTAAGAAAGAAGGAAATAATGTCAGTTTTCTGGCCTAAGGGGAAAATCCAGAAACATGGCTTACCTGTTACATTGTTTTTAACACAGAACAGTCAGCACATGCAGACATGGTGGGATAGGTGATGTCACACCTCACCTCTGAGGCCACAGGACCAAGTCCTGCCTCCTCCTCTACTGCTGGCTCCTGACAGGTGCCTGGGCTGGGGGCATCGGGTCATGGCTGCAACGTCTGAATTCCTGCCCTCCACATGGGAGGCTCACATTCAATCTCAGGCTTCTGGTTTAGGCCCAGTCCAAGCTTCAGCTGCTCCCATGAATTATTCTGTTTTTTTAAGATTTACTTAATTTTATTGGAAAGGCACATATGCAAAGAGGACGAGAGACAGAGAGGAAGGTCTTCTGTCCAATGATTCTCTCCCCAAGTGAGCACAATGGCTGGAGCTGAGCCGATCCAAAGCCAGGAGCCCAGAGCTTCTTCCAGGTCTTCCATGCAGGTGCCATGTCCCAAGGACTTGGGCCTTCCTCAACTACTTTCCCAGGCCAAAAGCAGGGAGCTGGATGGGAAGTGGGGCAGCTGGGATTAGAATCAGTGCCCATATGGGATTCCGATGCATTCCAGGTGAGGCCTTTAGCTGCTAGGCTATCGCAACAGGCCCGCCCATGAATTTTTCTTAACAAAACTGTAGCTGGGAATAAAAGGAATTTACTGAAACATCAGGGAAAAATGTCTTTAAAAGATAAAATTGTTTGTATGCAGAAACATTTTGAAATCTTTACATAGTTTTTTCATAGTACATGTTTTTCATGACCTTCTCAAAGATCCTCATAGGCTTGGATTTCAAAAACAAAAACAATCTGCAAGAAATAAATTGCCTTTTGATTCCCTTCTCATGAACGGTTTGAGGTTCTCTTGCACTCACATGCGCTGTTACATCCACTCCTAACTGCGGTCCCACAAAGTAGACAGGGTGATTCTCCCACTTAACAGATGAGCAAACAATGGCTAGGCGTTGGGGGGAGTTGCACTAGAGCCACACTGGTCATTAACAGCAGGGAACAAAAGCAGGCTTTGTTTTTCCAAACCTACATCCCGTTGCAATCAGACACCACACCGTCTGAGTTCTTGGCACTGATTTTCTATGATTGATGTCAATTTACAAACAGAAGCCCACTTCTGAATTACACACATTGGCATCTCATCAAGTCAATGAATCTTTTTGAAGTTGTAAGAAGAGAAACTCAGAAATAATGATGCTTCCATAGCTTTTCTCTATTAAACAAGGTAACAAGATTATTTGCTGTCAAATGATCACAACGGTGGTCAGTGTCAAGATCAGCCAATTTGAAAAGGAAGTATGTCATTTTTCTTGTAAACATTACATTCACATCATATGGCTGGTTGGACACCGCTCAGAATATTTCAGTCAGTTGAAAGCATTTATTGTGTGGAAAGGAAGATACACAAGACATGCAGGTTTAAGCTGTATATCTTGCTCTGCTGGCGGTGTAAACTTTGGTGTAGCTTTTTTTTATATTGTTCAAAAGACTGCCCTCCTATGCTGAACAATACGGTTCACACATGAAATCTTCCCTCCACGTAGACTCAAGGCTGAAGCTGATCGAGTACTTGACCAAAAGCACTTAATCAAATGAATAAATTAATGACAAAGAGAAGAAAACCCGGATCCTTTCCCTGGGCTCTTTTTAAACACATGTTCCTTTCACGTTCAGAAACGACACGTTTTACATTAAAGTTATGTTTTAAAGACCAATCAGGAAAGCAGAGAGCAGAAGCTCTGGCCACGGCGCTGACCACGGCAGTCGGAGGTGGAAATACTAACACACCATGCCCAGCGACACCGCCTTCAGAACTGCCAGTCCAGGCAGCTTCCCTCCACTCATCACAGCATCCAGAAGCAGCTCATCCACGAAAGGAGGAGTGTTCCGGGTTGTGCTGCACCTGAAGATGCTCGTCTGAACTTCTCAACCACTATGCAAACACCTGCTCCTTACTGCACGCTGTCTTTACTGAGACACAACCGTCAGGCTTCGTGTTTCTTCCCCCTGTCCCAGGGAGACTGGCCACTTGACTGATGAACAATAACCATCATGAGGTCAGAGATTCACCACAATTTGTCAAATGTTGTGCAACTTTCAAAAAGCAGCAACAGGAGAAATGGACTGTGACTTTCAAGCCTATCATTTGCGCAAAGCAATCAGTGCACAAAATATCTGTTTCAAAAGCAAACATTTTAGACTTTTATTTTCACCGTGCGACACAGTCAAGAAGTCACTTTGGCTTTTGATTGTTATATTTTCGCTTTGACACTAACTGGGTGGATTTATGAAAAAATATGCTCTGAAAGAAATATAGCAGTATGTGTTAAAAGCAAATGCTTTGTTTTTACACAGAAAATGAAAAGAAATAGTCTTGATTTTAAAAAAATCTTTTATATAAGCTGTAAAATTAAATACTAAACACACCTAGCACTTCCTGAGGTTCTCCTGACTGCTGGTTCCACATTGTGTGAATTTTTTACAGTCTCATACTCACACACACACACACACACATATACACACACTGTGGCTGGTGCAGCTGTGTCACAGGCTAATCCTCTACTCTGAAGCACTAGCGTCCTATATGACCACCAGTCCGTGTTCCACCTGCTCCAATTCTGCTCCAGCTCTCTGCCTGTGGCCTGCAAAAACAGTGGAGGAGGATCCACGTCCTTCCCCCCTGCACCCACACGAGAGAGTGGGAAGAAACTTTTGGCTCGGGAACGAAAGTTACTAAATGTGAGACAACAATGGAAAAGAGTGAGTTTGATATAGAGGGAAAATGATGCTTCTAAGAATATCAAACGTACACATAAAATGACAAAGTTGAAATTCAGGTTTCAGAGAAATGGGATCATTTTGTGTGAAAAGACGTCAAAACATGAGCTGAAATTTTAATACCGAAAGATAATGAGTAAGACGTCCAAAAACTTAATTTTCTATCATTTTCTCCAAAACATTTTCTCAAGACAGAAATTTTGTCTACTTCCTCTAAGAGTTCCATTGCAAAAGTATAGAAGTGTGAAAGGAGGTTGGACACTTTTCCGAAGCCCCCTGGTGCTTAAGCGTGGTTGGGGGTTAACAGCAACCAGCGTGACTGCAGTGCAGAGGAGACCAACACTGGGCAAGTTTATTAAACAGCAACGGGAAACAAGGCTCATTCAGAGACCTCCAGAAAACAAACAAATGATGAGCAGAATATTTACTGGATTTTTACAACACCTCAATTTACTTTATACTGCACTATCCCGGTTTAAGTCATCCAGGAAAAGACAGCTCCCGTGGTGTTAGATAACTTGCACTTTTTTTTTTATAGGATGGAACTCAGAATTTTTTGGTGTAGTCACTTTCTCCAGTGGCAACTTCGCAGCACTCTAGCTAGGACAGACAAGTTCTGAATTACACAAGATGCTTTCTGCTGATGCTTGGTTTGGATGTGGCTCCCCTGCCCATTGGTAAGCGCAGTTTAGAAATGAAAACACAGAAAACAAATTAGAAACCAGAATCAAAATGTCTGACTTGCAAATTAACTCTTGCTAATTTAGAAGTTAAAATCTAATATGCTATTTTTTAAAAATTTACCTGTTTCCATGCTTAACTTCGAGGTAGTTGGTGTAGCAGAAACTGTTGAGAGAAAACAGCGTTTATGAAAACACATCAGGACTAGGCTGAACCAGGCTGTGCTAGCAAATGTATTTGAATAAATCAGTCAAGATTAAAATTTCTGAAATTTTGTATAATGGGTGACAAGAACATTTCATTTGAAATATTGAAATACATAATTTGTATTTTACCACAGGTAACCATTATTTCTTATTACGACCAATCACCTGAAATCTCAGAGAAACTTTATAAGACATATTTATAGAGCAGCAAATGTAGTTCAGAACCCTGACCTGCCATCACTTCATTTAAATGATTAGTGATAATCAGAATTTAGATGTCATTTTACAGAAAATCACAAAACCTGGAATGCATTATCAAAAACGTAAGGTTCTCACAGACTCACAGGCAGTACAACCTCTCCTTTCACAGGGCAGGAAAGGGAGCAACACAAAGCATATTTATGCTGCCATTAAGTTCATGGTCCCAAATGAACCTTAACCTCCACTTTGCCCCACACTGTCTTGGATGGGCACACAGGAAACATGGCTAGGGCACAGTGCAAACATGCGAGGCTACCTGTGTGTTCCAATCCCCAGCATAATCATGACAGTTAAATACTCATGTCTCGGCAGACACTTCTATTCCAACTGCTCATTCAATTTTCTAAAATGTTAAGCTTCAGATGATATTTAACGAACAATTTCAAATTACAAATACTTATTGTATGTTATGTTGGTCTTCCTTACTTAATGCACAGGAATGTAATAATATGTCAACATATTTCTTAGTAACTTAATTTTACTTTACAATTTTCCTTTACCGGATTTACCACCATCTATTTTATGACAAATATAAAATCTTAAAAGCTACTTGCTAAAAGCAAATAAAAATATCCATTTAAAACATGATGATGTTTTTACCTGTAAATGTTGAGTTGATGGTAGTAGTTTCTGAAATAATGATAAATTACTATTACTGTGAGGAATTTACATTTTCGAAAACATTCTACATGTTGAGTTGATTACACGTAAACTATTGTTAACTTATATAACTTTTTGAGATTCCTAACACAAAAGAGGAATAATTTTAATTTTTTTAAGGTGTCTGTTGCCTAGGAGCAAGTCTTTAGTTATTTAATTTTTCCCATTTTAACTTTCACCTTATTCTATCCCTTCAACAAAATATTTTTGACCAATGCAGCAGCCCCTTCCTTCCCAGATCCTACAGATAACCTAGGGGATCAATAGTATGACAGTCCCATGGGTGCTTGCTGGCAGGGCAGTGGTGGCAGCTGCCTCCCCGGGACTCGCCATCAACTGGCTCATGAGGAGGACTCCTGCCCATCCAGATGGCATTGCAAAGCATTAATGCTGATTCTTGGCTGGCTGATGGTCCAGAACGAACCCCGAAGCTTGAGCTCCTCTTCCTCTGTCATCCAGTGTGACTTACCAGTGCACTCCAGCTCGCCGGCAATACAGTAGCTGGAAGTCAAAGCAGACAGAACAAACAAGTATGAGCTTGCAGTGTTGACTCCCAATGACATACAGCTCCCAAGTTCAACACAACAAATGGTCTACCAGTGAGAATTTGAAGCATACAGAACTGGTTCCCTAGAAGCACACTGTCAATTCCCACGGTTGGTGTGGTGAGAGATGACTCTGATGACCGCACCAGTTGGCTCTCGAGACCTGCACTGTCAATTCCCATGGTTGGTGTGGTGAGGGATGACTCTGATGACCGCACCAGTTGGCTCTCGAGACCTGAATGGACGGACTCCAGGCAAGCTGTGAGGCTTGTCCATGCACCGGCAGTTTGCCACACGGTGCAGTTTGATGGCCATGCTGCCACACGCTGACCACATCAGCTTGCTTCCGGGGACTGTGGAGAAGCTTGCAGATGGCCTCACACTCAGAACTGAAACTAGAGGTATTGCCCTGAAATCACAAGAAAACACTTGTGCCCTACTTCCTGCAGTACTGACCATAAGATGCTACAGATAATTTGCTCAAATTTGAGTTTTCTAAAATACTAAATAACTAATGGATGTAAAATTGAACCCAAAGCTGTACTTTTCAGAAATGACTAGATCAAAAATTATGCATATGCACACATACATTTACATATATACAATACTCATACACACACATTCTCTCTTGCTCTCTCTCCTCTCCCATTTAAAACTCAAAAAGACTCATTGGAATGTAAGCAGAAGGTACCATGTTCTTCCACAGTCATCCTGCACCACTCCGCCTGCTGGTATGACATCATTATAGAAGCAGCTGCACTCAGACAAAGCGACACACTTCATGGTGTTTTCATCCAGATATGGAGCACTTTCTGGGCACTTAGCATAGCATCCTGCATGCAAAAGGGATCCACAGTTCACCTCTGAACACTGAAATTCATCAGACTGCATAATAAATGTACGGGGTAAAGCCCTGCATGGCCCAAGTGTAGACTGTATATTATACATGCTCTAAAGCATTTTTCAGTGACTTGCTACTTGGTCGACGAGCACAAAAGTGAACCTAAGACAGGCTTTGATAAATAACACTACTCTTAAAACCAGAATGACACTCCCCAAAATTGACATTTGCATGGTCAACGAAGATACAGCTGAGTTAACACCGACAAGACTCTTGGAAAGCACAAATTATTGCCTTGCTTTCCTGCCATGTCTCAAAGACACAGAGCCCTGACTGTACTGTTCGCAGGTAGGACGTGGCTACCTGGAGCAAGCCGTACTGCACCCTGCATTCAGAAACCGCTCTTGTCTGATTACATCGTCCAATGGGAAGCTCAAGATTGACACTAAAGTCACAAAGTTCTCTTGCTCTCCCCTACTGAGCAGACAACTGCTGTCCAGAGAAAAGTATTTCTAAGGGGGTAAGATGAATGTTATAAGAAAAAAAAACTAACCATTCATCAATTAATTTATCAAGTGTAAGATATTGAACCGGGAGAAACCAATAACATTTTCCATTTCAGAAGACCCATCTCAACTGTACCCTTTTGTGGATACTCTTGAAGTACCTCTCACCTTCTAAGAGTGCAGAGAACTTCTGGCCGATGACCTGATCTTTGCACGTCTTGGCTGTCACTGTGCCACAAGGCTCGTAATGCCAGCTGCACTCCCCGGGCCCATTGTAATAGTCACAGTAGACGGCTGTCGGGGAATGATAGCAGATCAGGTCATTCAGCAGCTCAGACCTTCTCCTTCCAAAGCATTTTCTAAAATTCAGATTACATAAAACAGACCTAGAATACCATTCTGTCTAGCTAAGATACCTTGGCCTTATCCAAACTTCTAAATCAGCCCAAGGGGCTCAGACAGGAGGATGGGAGGAGGATCACGGCTCAGTAGAGCACTTCCTGTTGATGGCTCATGTCAGGTTTGGAGGCTGGCTGGGGAGAGAATTGCTCACAAGCCCCCCTGGAGATATTCCAGGCTGTAGCCTAGATTCATGGTTTTAATTTTCAGGCTTAAATTGCAAAGATAAATCTCAAGGTAAATTAAGCCTCAAGAACATATAATGAACAGCTCCAGAAGGAGGTGATTAACACTTTAATATAACACAATGCTGTGGAAAATTAACACAGTAAAATGAGCAACCTCTTCAACACTTCTCCTTTTTGATGGTTTCCTCTCACAGTTCCTGGCAAAAAAGGAAAAGAGTCGATTTCTAGTAATGTCATCACTTTCAAGATGGATTGAGACTCATTTTATATATAACTAACAACTCATAATTTCCATTCCGAATCCAACGTGTGAGGATTCCAACTGGAAACAGGATGGGCAGCAGTGAATGAGCAGCCAGGTGTGAGTGAAATCCTCCCCATCCTTGCTCCATGTCCCACCCCCAACGAGGGCAAGAACTTCTGAAATTAAAACTGAACTTGAACTACCAGGCCAGCTGTGGTACGTTTTTCAGTTAGGTGCTTCTTCATTATAAACATACAGTGCCACGATTCTATGCCTTCCTATGTATTTTATAGAAAATGGGAGGAAGCCCTGATGATAAAACCATTGTATGGGATTTTTATTTTTTTTAATTTGAAAAGAAGAAAGGCAGGGAGAGCTGAGAAGGAGAGAGAACTAAGACAGACAGCGATCTCCCACTCTCTGGTACAGCTAGAGCCAGGAGCAGGACTCCACCACTTGAACCACACTGCAGCTGGCCAAGACGGATGGGGGTGAAAGCCTGACACCCCAGGAGGAACCCAGCGACCCAAACTGTGCCAAAAGCCTGCCCCTGGGAGATGACACTTTAAGTGGGGAAAGGGAACACTTACGACAGAGGTCGGGCTTCCTCCAGGAGACACAGGCGCCCACTGCGCTGCAGGCCTCGGCATACATGGCCACAGCGGTGCAGAAGCCCTGGTACTTGCCCTCCATATCACAGGCACAGGCCTCCTCCACACACGCATCGTAGTAGGTGCTGGGGTCCACCTGGGCAGGCGGAACAGCACACGTGAGCTTGCAGGCAGCAGCACTGCCCTCCCTGCCCTCCCTGCCCACCCTGCCAGCCCTGTCAGCCCTGCCCTCCCTCCCTGCCAGCCCTGTCAGCCCTGCCCTCCCTGCCAGCCTTGCCCTCCCTCCCTGCCAGCCCTGTCAACCCTACCCTCCCTGCCAGCCCTGCCAGCCCTGTCAGCCCTGCCCTCCCTGCCAGCCCTGCCCTCCCTGTCCTCAGCCAGCCCCGCCCTCCCTCCTTACCCTCCCTGCCAGCTCTGTCAGCCCTGCCCTCCCTGCCCTCCCTGCCAGCTCTGTCAGCCCTGCCAGCCCTGCCCTCCCTGCCAGCCCTGCCCTCCCTGCCAGCCCTGCCAACCCTGTCAACCCTGCCCTCCCTGCCAGCCCTGCCAACCCTGTCAACCCTGCCCTCCCTGCCAGCCCTGCCAGCCCTGCCAGCCCTGCCCTCCCTGCCAGCCCTGCCCTCCCTGTCCTCCCTGCCCTCTCTGTCAACCCTACCCTCCCTGCCAGCCCTGCCCTCCCTGTCCTCTGCCAGCCCCGCCCTCCCTCCCTGCCCTCCCTGCCAGCCCTGTCAGCCCTGCCCTCCCTGCCAGCCTTGCCCTCCCTCCCTGCCAGCCCTGTCAACCCTACCCTCCCTGCCAGCCCTGCCAGCCCTGCCCTCCCTGCCAGCTCTGTCAGCCCTGCCCTCCCTGCCAGCCCTGCCCTCCCTCCCTGCCCTCCCTGCCAGCCCTGCCAACCCTGTCAACCCTGCCCTCCCTGCCAGCCCTGCCCTCCCTATCCTCTGCCAGCCCCGCCCTCCCTCCCTGCCCTCCCTGCCAGCTCTGTCAGCCCTGCCCTCCCTGCCAGCCCTGTCAGCCCTGCCAGCCCTGCCCTCCCTGTCCTGTCCTCCCTGTCAGCCCTGCCAGCCCTGCCCTCCCTGTCCTGTCCTCCCTGTCAGCCCTGCCCTCCCTGCCAGCCCTGCCCTCCCTGTCCTCCCTGCCAGCCCTGTCAGCCCTGCCCTCCCTACCAGCCCTGCCCTCCCTGTCCTCCCTGCCAGCCCTGTCAGCCCTGCCCTCCCTGCCAGCCCTGCCCTCCCTGCCACCCTGCGATGTGCACCTTGCTGTGGCAGTCTCGGAACGTGCTGTCCCTGAGTATCTCGCACTTGCGCACTGCCCAGGCCTTGCAATAGGGGTTGGAGTCGCAGGGGAAGCTCTGGGCCACCGTGTCGGAGCACTCCTGACTGGTCTTCCAGCTGTTTCCAAACTCAAGTGCGCCAGCAGCCATGGAGGAGTGCCTGGTGGTGAAGTCGTCCTTTGAGTCACCATTGTTGTTCCCGCAAAGGCCGCACACTTTTCCCTGCAGGGGTCGAGAAAGGAAGTGAACGGTGGCACTGGGCAGAGAGACAGAAAGGCTGCAAGGATGCACTGTTTGCACAGCCTGAGGCACCTGGGAAACCTGAGTTTGCAGACGAAATTCCAGTCTCATTTCATCTGAGACAGCCCACACTACGAGACCAAGTAGCACCAGGCGGAGTTGAGGGCTTGAGAATCCCAAACCATCCCAAGTGCCAGATTCAAATTACAACTAAGAATGCTCTCAGGTTCTCTGAACATTGGTTGCAAGGAACCCATTTTAATTACAATATATAAAGTTCTCACAACCTCATCTTGGGATAATCTCCAGTCACCCTGGGTGTTAGATCAAACAGCAGGGGTAGATTACTCTCCCTGCTACACGGATTCCTTCATCATCTTTGAATGGAGTTCATTCTCTGAGAAGGTCCTTTACTGTCCCAAAAGCCTGGCCCCAGGACCCTGCCACTGTCACATACACCTGTGAACCCCTGCACCTCATCTCACATAACACTTTGTATCCACACAGATCCTGTCTCAGGGATAAACTTACATTCCAGTGAGGGTCCAGTATCACAGACACTCTTGTGTTCTTGTCCCAAATGACGACGATTCCATTTTCAAACTTCAGAACCAGGTACAGGCCGACGGTGTGGACAGAGTATGTCTGTGAGCTCAGCTCACAGTTCTGGCTCTCTGTCGTTTTCAGGGCCGTGACTTTACCGTCTTGCAAGACAATATTCTGATCCTGTCAACGAGAAGACTCAGAGTGGCAGGTGTGTTGAGCTGGCTGGAATCAGAGAAAACCTCCTGGGGCAGCAGTCCAGTACCTGCAGTGCCACGATGACTTTCCTTGAACAGGTGAGGCCATCCTCACAGCACGGGACACTCTCCGTCAGGATCCGGAAGGTGCCATTCTCACCACCACAGTAATCCTTTAAGCATCCAATTACAACAAGGGTTAGGGAAATCAGGAACATGGAACTCAGCCACAATACTTACAGCAGTCACACACTCCCTAAAAGTTATGCTTTAAACTTACTCAAGTGCCACCCGCTATATTAAGAAATATCAAAAAGTAATGATTTAAATGCATTCATGGGTAGGTACCCTTGGATGAGTCCAATCTAGCTAATCTGTTTCAAATTCGTCCATTTTCCATTATGTCTAAACAAGGTTAGAATTATGCCCAGAGTATGTAAGTATTAAAATTACATGTGTAGTCATAGATTTTTGATCAGTTTCCTTTGACAGGTAAAATCATGAATGGATACAAAGCAAGCTGGATTTCACCTGTCAGATGTAACTTGTAAAACAGCTTAATTGCATCAACAAGCTTGCACTCTGGATCCAGAGAGATCTAGATCCGAATATGACATTTTCTAATTCATCACTCAAGATGCATGAAGTCATGAGACCTCAATTTCTTGAACTGCATCACAGAAGGGCCGTCATGGCAGAATTCAGTGAAACCATCAGCCTGCGTAGCGAGGAAGCACATGCGTGGTGGAGGCTGTCATTGTTAATGCTGGTACACCAATCAGAACGAAAGCTTCTCCTGCAACCACTTCTCTAGATGGGCTTCAACGTCCACTTTACAGATCAGCAACTGGGGGCACCAACGATACAGGGACCTCCCTAAAGCTACGGATCTGACAAATGGAGGCACCCAACACATGATAACCAAGAAGCACAAAGCAGCTGTTATGAGCACACTGGTAACTACCTCGATGAATGAATACTGGCACAGGCCATCGAAGGTGTAACTCAGCCCATCAAAGGTCCTGACGTGGCCTTCCCCGTAGATGTGGCAGGTGGTCTGACACTCATTCTGTGTACAGTTCCATGACCCTTTTGTGCACGTACTAGTGGGAAAAGATGAGAGAGTGTGCCAAGCATGTCCATATGCCCACACTGCTCTAACACAAAGTAACACTCCATTCTCATTCAAACATCCCTTCTGCCTATTATATTTGAATATGCTCATTTTATGTAACGCTGTGTAAACTTGCCATTTAAAAAAAATCAGCATCTCTTTTTAACTCACACGTGGAGTATTTGCATTTGTGGAGTATCATGTGATGTTTTATAGTGATATGCATTATGCAATGTTCAAATCAAGGTCAATATACCTATTTCATCTGTATTGCGGAACAATAAAGCTTATACCTTCTAACTTCTTTTAGGAAAAATTACAGCAGACATTACTGCCTTCTACAATAAGAGAACTCTAGGATTTTATTCTCCTGAGGAACCGAAACTCAGCAGCTGTCAATTAACATGTACTTTTCCCAGCTCCGGCAGCCACCATCCACCTCTCAACTTCCACGAGGTCAACCTGAAAATCAGCATCTCTTTCTACCTACATTTGGCCACCATCTTTCTCTTAAAGAAAAGCATCCCAAAGTGTGACTTATTTCTCATGAAAATAAGGGAGACTGTCTGGGTTTTCTAATATCCAAAAATAATACAATCACAATCCCTGTTACATACCATTCATTGCAGCCGACAGAGGTGACACTTCCTTGGTCATATTCTCGCCCACCAAAGGAGCAAGGGCAGTCATCAGGGAGGACACACTGCCCCTTAGAATTACGAACCATTCCTTCTGGACAGTAGCACCCACGCTTACAAGGCAAGTCTCCCTGTAAGCACAACAGACAATACCATCACAGCATTTCTAAGCATGAGACAGCAGCAGAATCAGTTAAATAGGAGGGGGCTTCAAAAAAGCTTGTTGGAAAAAATCAAATTAAAAGAAGACAGTACTATGATACAAAAATGTTTCAAAACTGTTCCTCATGTTATTTTTTTAATTTTTCAAATTTATCATTAGAAAGTCAGATTTACAGAGAGGAGAGACAGAGGATTATCTTTCATCTTCTGTTGGCAGAGAGCTGGATTGGAAGTGGAGCAGCCAGGGCACAAACCAGCACCCATATGGTATCCTGGTACGTGCAATTCAACATCAAATGCCAACATCAGCCACTAGGCTGTTGCACTGGGCCAATTTTGTCATAATATACATTTTTCAGGGAGTTTTTGAAGGCTCCCCCATAAGTAATCACACTAAGTATACACCAGGGTGAACATGGAACACGTTAAGATACTACAGAAACATAAGTGAGATGGGCATTTGGCAGAGCAGGTTAAGCCGCCCCTTGAGACTTCAGCATCTCGTACTGGAGTAGCTGTGTTGAAGTTCTGGCTTCACTTCCAATCTCAGGCTCTTTCTATGCACAGCACGGGAAGCAGCAATGGGCTCAAGTACTTGGTCCCTGTCAGGAACTTGGAAACGTGAGGTCATGGTTCACCCTGGCCTATTGCAAGCACTGGGCCGAGAAGCAGTGGGTGGGGGATCTCTCTCCACCTCTCTGTCTCTTTTCCAATTAGTAAACAGGTAACATAAAGAACAGCTTCCTCTTCTGATCACTCCTCACTGGCATGCTGGTCCCCTTCTGCCCAGAAGCAGCTCAAAGATTTCAAAAGCTCAGCTCCACTCCCACATTACATACATAAAACATGGGTATGTTCCGAGTGCTGCATGTCCTGTCGACTCTGGTCCGTGCTTGGGGATCACTGCAGTCGATGTACTCGGCCCCTCCTGTGCAGTTCTCTGCAGAATTAAGGAAGGTGCCGTTAATCAAGTGGCCTGGGCTTGCTCTCAGCCGATGTTCCAGACCAGCACCAGAATGTCAACACTTACGGAGGGTTGAATCAATGGGGGTCTGACAGAGAAGAATCCCATCCTGACAGACACTGGCAATGAAAAAAAAATGGAACAATTCAACATCAAATGCCAATGACAACACACAAATGAGACACAGCCCCCAAACGATGCCTAACATGTACCAATGTAAGAGACAGGCTGTTCTAGGACTAGACAGAGGAGGCTTCTACGGGCCTCAGAGCCATTTCCACAGGAGGGGTGGTTGGACCTGGGGCGATCAGTAAGATCCACTCAGCGCTTCAATGATGTAGAACTTTGTTGCAGTGAAGAACAAAACACAGCCTGGGGATTGCAGCCAGCCCTGCCTGGATGAAGGGAAGCCGCACAACTGGCAGAGGGGGCCCAGGTTTCAGGGCTTTGAACGTCTAGCAACTTCATTTCTAATCTTCAGGCAGCTCTTTGTCATTTAAGTCACTGGGCAGGCAGGAGGCATGGCCAGACGGTGTTACAGGTCAGACTCTCAGCAGCATAGCAAGAAATGCGGGGACAACACCTACTCTTGACAGGAAGACATTCTACTACTGGAGGCAATCCTTTCCTCTCAATGTCATAGCTAACAGACATGGAGGCTCCGTACCATGTGTTGTCTTCAATGTGGATGAGCCTGCCTGGTTGTATGACCTCATCATCCATGTAGCAATCACACTGCGATCTCTGCACACAGTTGCCTTCACTGTTCCGGTACGTTCCATCAGGACAGGCACATCCATCAACTGGAACATCTTCTACATCACAGCTCCTGTCTCTCTCTGACAATGATCGGCAAGAACTGTTGCAAGCTTTTACATTGTACTTGAAAACTAGGCCACTTGCACAAGAGAGTTCTGTAGGTGCAGAGAAGAAACAATGAATATTCATGCATGCAGAAAAGTCAAAAGGGCGCGCTCACATTTTTTCAAACTTTCACTCTTCATTCTAAAGTTAAATTACTGTTACATATTCAATTACAAAGTCCACATACAAGATGGGGAGTAACTGCTTTCCTAGGCGGCCTGTGTGCCTGGCAGGAGGACAACTGCTTGTGTACTACAAGGAAGTGAAGAGAGAAGCACTAAGTGTGTGCAGCCAGAGTCCGCCCTTGGTGAAGAGCACAGATGAATGCAGAAAGGCAGCCCACAAAGAGGTGGGTACAGATGTGGAACAGGCAAGAGGGTGTGACGCTTCCCGTGGGCATGTGGAAACAGAAACTACAGCCCAGAGAGACCCTGAGGCTGGAGCCCACGCAGCCTTCTTGCGGTACCTGGGCTTTGGACTTGGAGCAAGGGGAAGCCACCAGTTGTGTGAGCCTAGAATATTCTGTGGTGGAATAACTGATTAGGCTTTGCTGTGAAGATGGCCCAGCCTGCACTATTGGTAATGGATGAACAGGAAGCAGCAGTGAGCGTGGAAAGCTACTGCAGATGGAAACAGCAACGGCTTACTGAGCAACAGCGGACAGGCACCAGGGAAAGAGGGATGGGGGCAGTCTGGAAGTGAGCTGCCTGGACCTGCAGACTGACGGCACGTGAACTATTCCCTACGACCTAAGAGACATGCACTGCACAAAGTGTGTTGGTTTTCTACCTTGGCGTTTGGGTGAGTCGTGTATTTTTGTGAAGTCATTTTTAAAGAGTTCAATAAATGATTTTAAACAATAGTGTTTCATAAATATGACAACTGAGCCTCTAATTTACTGATGAAGTTTACATGCTTTTTTTTCTCAAAATACATTTTAATGTGAGCATCCCATTTAAAAAATGCCTTCTTCTCTGACTCATAGATCACACAGTAGCATCGTTTTCTTCAAGAAGGTTTTTTTGTTTTGTTTCCATTTTTTCATCAACGCATTGGTTATTCAAGTAGCATGTTACTTAACTCCATGGTGCTGTAAATTTTTAAACTTTATTCCTATTGTCGATTTTGTTTTATGGTTTTTCATTTAAGGGGATATAATAGAGACTATCATATCCAGATGTGAAGATACAATACAGTATGTGTCTCCCAGTGAAACTGTTGGTTATATCTTGACAAAAGGATGCTGGTCTGTCTTCCACTGTCTGAACCAGCAATGTCAGGACACACTTAAATAGCAGAATGATGCACTTATGGCTACTTATGAGGGACTATATTATTGTAATAATATGGAGGAAATTAGTTGTGGGGAGTGAGTTTGAGTTTATATGTGCATTGTTTATATGTGAATATATTAAGTCAAGATAAACTAAAATTTAAAAGATGAAATAAAACAAGGAGCAGGAATGCAAGGATATTAAAAAAAAAAAAAGGAAGCATTTTGAACTCATCAGGGACAGATCTGCAGCCACACCCTCTCAGGACGAACACACACACACCCTGGTGTAGGTGGGAAGGAAGCAGTGTGCCCTGGCCCCCTGCCCTGCTTACCACAGCGCCCTGTCCTCCAGCCCACCAGGTACGTCTCCTTCTCTGCACATGCTTTCACGTAGTTGCCCAGCACTGTGCACAGGCAGTCTGCAGTGTTCTCGCAGGAGCAGGTGTACTTCTTACACTCCTTTAAAATAGAAAGCCGTGTGCACGCATTAGGACGTATTGCAGCGCGGCCCCTCCACTTCATAACCAGTCCTCCAACCCGAAGACAGCTTGTCATAGAAACTCTTCCAAATACACTGTTTTAAGCTGTTTAAAATATTCAAAGTGGTGAATTATTAGCAATTAGCGAAGTGAGTTGCATAGCCTCACGTACCTCATGGTAGAACTTAGGGTTCACGATTGCGTGGCAGGCAGCAAAAGGCCCACTCGGATCAAGAAGAATTCCACAGTTCTTCTCAGCAAATTTTTCTGGAAGAAAAAGAATCGGTACTAATCAAAGTACTTTTTTTTTTGCTTGAAAGTTGTAAATTTTTTAGTAATGCTGTGTCATTATCAAAATCACCACCTCTTTAAAGTGTTTGCTGTAGTAAATCTTCTTTGTTGTCACTGTTTACAAACATAGCACAGTGTCACGAGAAACATCTCACAAAGGCAAACCCTGATTTACCTTTAGATTGCTGACTAACCCGCTCTCTGAAAGGCAGTTTCAAAGGTGATTAGATCATACATTCAGGTGCCTTGTCACTTTAAAACATATGAAAAGGGGCTTCAGAAGTTCATGGAACAGTGGCATTAAATGACAATGCAAGTGTTCGCAAATGGTCTGAAGCCTTCCTTTGGTTTGGTCTAACTTGCTGTAAGTCAGTGCCCCATATCTCTCCCTGACACCCTTATAAGGTCACACGGACCTCACTGAAGGTCAGTTGACTTTCCAAGGTGGCTGCATCTAGTCTGCTTAACACCATAACTGGACCTGTTTTCATTCACAAAATAGATTATTTTGGCTAATCATCATTATGTTGTTTTTATTGGGAAATCTCGAATGCAAAATAACATGGCAAATGCCTGAAATACAAATGGTCATGCGTACAGCAGTATTTCTTTGGATGCATTTCCCCACCCTCAAAATCAGTGGATCAGATTTTCAAAAGCAATTGTTGAGGTAATTCGAACATATTTTTAAGCCAGTCGATTTATTTTAAACATGTGGATTGATTTAGAAACAATTAAATAATTAATGTGCTTTAACTTAGCTTCTACTGCATTCTCTGGATGTGGACGCATCATCTAAAATGTCTGCTCATGAACAATACATGGGGAGCGATCACAGCCTGGTTCGATTCCAAGAGCCTAGACTGCAACTGCATCTGGAGCGCTGACTGAGCAGACCACTGTGGGCTACTGCAGGGAGGGTACTGATGCCAGCCTAGTCCAGCACGACTCATGGGAGCAGACTGAACTAATACTAATGGAAGTAAGTTCGACTAGCGTTTATGGAAGGCTTTGGTGCGCTGAAGGCATAAGCTGCATCCCCTTAGTGTGCTGTCCAGGAACCAGAGCTGCACTGGGGCCTGCTCTCACCATCACCCCGAAGGCACTGCTAAAGACACTGCACCAGCAACTGCTCTCCCCACAAGGCTCTGTCATGGTTTCATGGAGTTTCAGTCTTTGAACCAGTAATCAGTTTTCACAAGCAAACTTAAAGAAGGAAAAATAGTAAACTAGGTGATTTCTACCATCTCTTCTAACTCTGCTATTCTAAAATTATGGGTAAAATGTACAATGGAAAACTAGGTACAGAAAAAAAGACAACCAAGACGAGCTGTCAATGACAGATGCAGTTTTTGGAGCAGACCCAACCTACTTGTCTGCTGTTCCCTCTGAACCTAGGATGACAAACACCCGTAACAACCCGGATTGTCCAATACACCTGAGCCACCGCCATACAAGGTGTGCCATTCCAAGCATCCAGTGTTGTATTACCTGTGTCTATGCTGACACAAGATGCAGGGGTTCCTGATGGACAGGACATCATGGCCCAAGAATTCGCAAAGGCCTGTGACGTCTTCTCCAGAATATTCTCACTTGACATGAAATCATCCTCTGCTTTGTTGTTGTAGGAGCCACAGAGACCTGTCACAAGCAGAGAACAGAGGTTGATGTCAGGTCACCGCCACGGTGTTCTGAATCCACAGTCAGACTTCCCTGCCACATACAAACCAAAACCCAGCAGAGTGTCTCAAAGAAACATGTGCTTCCTCTTCATACATACGGTGATGCTTCAGGACACTCAAGATGCCATCCAAATTCCTTTTTCATTTAACTCCGGGAACACAGAATCACCATTCACCAGGGGCACTGCGCCTGCCTGCTTTGCAGCAGGAAGTATGCTCACGTGGAGCAGGAAGTATGCTCACATGGACTGCACGCTTTGCTTGGGCTGAGGAAGTTAGCCGCTCCACCCTGCCTGGAACCTTCTGACCTCAAGCTACATTTTCTCCTATGTATAAATAGATTACCTTCTCACAGAAAGGCATACCACACAACTGCACACTGTTCGGCAATAGGCAGCTCTCCACAGGACGGTTACAACTGATTTTCTTACTTGTCATCTATGGCAGGTGTGTCAGCACACACTTGATTTTCAAAGGATTTGTACAGAAACCCGTTTCTATTCAACTAGCAGCCAAAGTGTTAGTGATGTTTAGTTGCAATACATTATACATAACCTACAATGTCAAGTCCCAGTTTTTAACAAACCATACTTTCAGATTTTAAGGTCATTAAAAAGGCCTTTTGAGAGAGAATGACATGAATAGTCAATTCTCAAGAGAATAAATAAAACTGACCCACAAATACATGAAAAATATATCCATCAAAAGTCCTAAGGAAAAGGGAAAAGTAAACCACAATGAGGTGTCGTACTCTAGTTAAGATGGATATTACCAAAAAGATAGAGACACAAACGTTGGTAAGGCTGTGGAGTGAGGGGAACCTGTTCACACTGCTGGGGAGATAAACGTTCACCATGAAGAAGAACATGTGGAGGGCCTTCAAAAAACCAAAGCTAGTCCTGTCATATGAGCCAGCTGTCCTTCCTCTGGAGCACGTCAGGAGGTGGACAGCAGGTGGCACATCCATCGCCACTTGCTGCTGCTCTAGTCTCAACAGCCAGCATGCAAAAGCAATTTTATGCATCCGGGTACAGAAATAGAGAAAATGAAATACATACAATAAACACTACCCTGCCAAATTAATAAATTCTGACATATGCAAGCAACACTAAAGAACTAGATGTTATTATATCAAATACAAGAAGCCTGGACTGGAAAGATAAAATATATTTTCTCTCATATGCGGAAATTACAAAATGATCTCAGGATAGAGCACTGATGACTCAGGGCTGCTGGCACTGGAGGAGAGGGAGGGGGCTGAGGGAGTCTGGGTAACAAAGCTAGCAGACAAAACAAAAAGGCGCTAATGTTCCACAGCACAATGGGGGTAAGTATGTCACAGCAACCTATGATGTTCTGGGTAGAAACCCAAGAAAAGGAGCTGGTAAGTCAAAATGTAAAAGATAGAAAATGGAAAAAAACGGAGCCAACATTGTACAGTGGGTGAAGCTGTGACCTACCATGATGGCATTTCACATGAGTACTGGCTCAAGTCCCAGCCATTCCACTTCCAATGAACTCCCCACTAATTTGCCTGGAAAAGCATCAGAAGATGGCCCAAGTGCTCGGAATCCATCACCCGTGTAGGAGACCCAGATGGAGCACCCAGCTAACAGCTTGAGCCGAGCCCCAGCTACTGCAGCTATTTGGGAAGTGAAACAGTGTAGTGAAGATAACTGCCTCTGTGCTTATTTCTGCTCTTCAAATAAACAAACATTTTTTTTTAAAAAATGCCTGGTTGGTTAGCATTCACTGCAGATATCCACTGAAGCGTTGCACCGTGCTGAGTAAAGATATGATGCAATTTAAAAAATTGAAGTCTAGAATTTCTTTTTTTCTTTTTGAGAGATCAGGTATATCTGCCATGAAGAGCAATTTTGTATTAAAGCACTTACAATATAAAAGGCAAGGCTAGGTTTTCAATGCTTTGGGTTTAGCATCATTTATTAGGACATAGCTGGAAATCATATAATTAATTATGTCACATTACAGCCTTGGGAATAAAAATAAGTAAAGAGAACTCACCTACGGTGTCTGTGAACTGATTGGGTGGCATGGAAACATATAACTGCATCGTGGGAATAATTTGTATTTGCATTTTCACATGGAAGTCAGTTTCTACTTGACGGTACATAGAAGACACTTTGAAGATCTGTATTTTCTCTGTTAAAAATTATTACCATTAATTAACATGTTAAATGACTTCTACTTTCTTAAAATTCAATATTTTAAAAATGCTAAAATCCAGATACATTTAATATCTTTAAAAACTGATCAAGTGAATACATCTAGTACCTATTTTAAAATGCTATTATGGACAATTGTTGAAGAATTATACTGTTGTAATAACACAGGGAAAATCAGTTTGGGGGGGAGTAGAGAAGATGAGAGGGGAAATCCCTGAGCCTATGGAACTGTGTCACAAAAAATTACATAAAACTAAAATAAAATTTCAAAATAAAATAAAATGCTACTATTATAGGCTATCACAGTGATATAGCAAGCTGATCCTCCACAGATAAGAGCTGGCATTCCGTATGGGCACTAGTTTGAATTCCAGCTGCTCTACTTCCAATCCAGTTTCCTGCTTATGGCCCAGGAAAGCAGCAGAGGCTGGCTCCAGTGCTTGGATCTCTACACCCACGTGGGAGACCTGGAAGAAATTCCTGCCTCAGTTTCGGATAAGGCCGGCTCTGGCTATTGCAGCCATCTAGGGAGTGAAACGGCAAATGGAAAACCTCTCTCTGCAACTCTGACTTCCAAGTAAAATAAACAAACATTTTAAAAAGGTATGTTTTAAAACCTACCTGAATAGTAATAATCTTGATTGCTAATCTTGTCATTCATGACTGTTCCATCCCTATTGAACACGTATTTGTCCACTGAAACAGACTAATATTCAAATCCACTTGTTAGCTCGTGCTAATTTACCTATTTGGATTTAATGTAACCTGAGAAAATGAATCATTGTGCCATAATAACATGCCTAGTTGTACAGAATTAATTTATAAATAATACAATACGGAATTCTGAAGAGCGTCCCTTCTTATTTGCTCTATGGATCCTCACGGCAAACCTGGGGACAACTCCACATCGTTCAGTGCAGACAATGAAGGGAGTTTCAGTTCCCAAGACCACGACCCAGCTACTCTCTTTCCCACCTCACTCAGGTCTGCTTCCAGTTACAACACTCTTTCAAATCTGTAGACTGCTAAGCAGATGCCATTGCTGTCTTCCCTAATGGTCCATTTAGTGAACACGTAGCAGGCATTTATCCTAGTAGTGACGTCTCAGCCCCACGCACGTCCGAATGCCTGCATCGCAGTCCCGCCTCCAGTGCAATCCCAGTTCCTTGCTGATGTGCACCCTGGCAGAGAAGTTGTCCCTGCCAACCACACAGGGGGACCTGACTGTGTTCTTCATTGCAGCCAGCTACTGGAGGTGTCTGAGAGTGGAACAACAAATGGAATACCTCTGTGCAGTTAATTTTCTGTCTCTCACTCCCTAAAAGTCATAATAAAAAGCTCAGCTAGAACATGGGTCACACATATTTCTTGTACACCAAAGGTAATAGTGACAAACTTCATCTGTTCTAGAGATTTTATTTATGGTTTATTCATGCTTTTAAGATGTTTAACAAAGCCTCTTCCTCCTCAACTTCAAAAATTCCGAGCTGATGACATAGTTGACATGACAAAAACCTGAAGTAGCTCATTACTCACAGAATTCAAGGCCAGGGTGACACTGTTTAAACATGTCCCGGTCTGCCCACTGGGACACGGTCGAAGCTCAACACTGATGGACCAGTCATTACCCTGTTGAAAGAGAACATTTCATTAAAAATGTTCATTGAAATTTGCATCACTTTAAATCACCATGTAATTTGTTCACAATCCAAGTTCAGGTTTTAAATTATGTATGATTCCTTCGCACACCCAGCGAGTTCACCAAACAGTGTCAGGACGCTGCGAGGGGCTAAGCATGACTTGAGTGTCTGCATGAGCTGTGTCTCTGCAGTGCACAATGGACAGTGCCCCCATTTATCACCCTCGGTGTCCACTAGTACTGTGTGTCTTCTCGCGGCAATCATGACAGACTACTAGAAATTAAAAGGAACAGGTAGTTGGTGCTCTGGACAGTCAACATTGTCCATTGCAGCCCAATGGGCGCTGCATTTAACTTGCAAAAGCATGCTGTAAGTCCTGTCAAACGCTGACTTCAAGCCTCATTCCCAACTCTGGTGCTCTTTATTCAGTAGGAAGCATGTATTCCAATGTTCTCACATATTTTCTTCACATTTTCTCCATCCCCTGTGTGTACAGATTAACAGAGGAGGATGGGCAGGCATGTTGGTGCAGAGTATAACATGCCACTTCGGATCCCTGCATCGTGGAGTGTCAGGTTCCAGCTTCCTGCTCATGTGCATCCTGTGAGGCAGCAGATGATGCCCAAGGACCTGTGGGAAGCCCAGGCAGAGATCCTGGCTCCTGGCCTCAGCCTGGGCTAGGCTTGGCTGTTTGGGACTTTTGAGAACTAAATCTGCAGATGGGAGATCTCTCTCTTTCTCTTCCCTTTTTTCTCTCTTTGCTCGCTCTCTCTCATATGAAAAAATAAAAATCATTTAAAATATTGCCTTTGGAAAGAAAGAGGACAAACAGGAAAGATAGATTATATTAGGATAGAATCAGCAAAGCTTTATTTTAGAAACTTGATTTTTAGTGGCAGCAAATACAGTATTAACATTTTCTCACTTTAGGACTCACCACACCTGCTTTGCCTTATTTCTGACAAGAAATATGAGATAAAAATCGCTCATTCTCATACTAGCCAAAGGCATATCTTTTTATGTAAACTGAGTACTTAAAATTCTATGTCCAAAGAATTTAAATATAAGTATAACCTCCACAATGCTAGTACCACTTTATTCTAGAAATTCAAAAGTAATGATGTTACTGTTTCACAGAAGTAAAAGACCTTGTTGTTCAAAGCAGTAGCAAACACAGGTAAATGAAAATAGAAAAAATAAGTAATTTGCCAGTATACTTTGCATTACTAGTGAATGAATCAAGGTTAATTAATTTGTGTCTTTTCCTTTTTTTTTTTAAATATTTAAAGCAAGAATAAGTGACACTAATTCAATATTCAGAAACCTATCAAAGTCAGTGGAGGGCTGTGTGCTTTTTATTTCCTTAAGTAGTTATTTCTGCTTAAGAAAGCATTTGTACAGTATTACGTACGTGAACGGCCAGGAAGTGGCAGTTTCCAGGATGGTTGTATTTGTTATTGTCGAAGGTGGTAAACAGACTTCCCTCCACCTTGCATCTCCCAGGACACAAGGCTTCAGTGCAAGACCACTTTGCATCTTGGCATGTACTGTTAAAATGCAAGGGAGACAACACAGGCAGTCCACTGGATGTTCTGTGTTGTAAAACCAGGTATCACAACACTTTAAAGGGCACAACTAAGGTTTGAACAAGCGCTGTCAGACTCTCTTCATCCCCCACCCAGCTTCCCTACTGCGTGGCGTTTTAAAACATGTGGATGCTACTGAACAAAATGGTAACTTGGGTATCAATCAAACATGTGAAGCAGAGCATTAGTCACTGCACACAACACTGGCCTTTGTGTTGGGGCATCGGTTCTTGTCCCTGATTCTCCACTGCCAATCCAACTAGCTGAGAACACACCCAGGAAAGCTGAAGGCAATGGGCCAAGGAGTCGGGTTCCTGACACACTGGTGGGAGACCTGGGTCCAGAACTAGCTGGACTGGGTAGTTAACCAGCAGACAGAAAACGTTATTTCCCTCATATTCTGTGTCACACTGCCTTTTAATAAAACAATATTTTAAAAACTGCTTAAGTTGGATTTGAGCAGGTTATTTAAATGGATTGCACTTCATTAGTAGTATTAAAACATCTACAAGCCACACTTAGACTTCAAGTGTACAGAGACACATAACTATTTTTGTTTTTAAAATGTGGCTTTTCCAAAATGTGAATGTAAAATGAAGTTTTGAAAAAATATGAAAAATATCACAAAAATATTTTATATAACCTCATATCTAACTAATATTTTAATGATATCAATTTCTATAAAATACAGGATTCAAATAAATTTTAACTGATTTTTAACTGCTACTGATTTTCATAATTATAATTAAGAGACACTACTAACTACTGCACTACTAAAATATTCCTTACTTACAGAAAAAAATATTTTAGCATAAGTAACACTTTTTCATGGAGTCAGCCTACTTCTCAGGTACATAACTTATTTCTAGAAAAGTCCTATGTATTCTTACAGAAATCTAGACGTTCAGAGAAAACTCTTAAAAAGAAAACCTCACCACCCAGTACCTCGTTGCTGAACTCACAAAGAAGGCTCCTACAGGGGCAGGTGACTTAATGCAGCCACCACGCAGGAGACCTGTACCCTGTATCACCGTGCCTGGTTTGAGTCCTGGCTACTCCATTCCTTGCTAACACACCTGGGGCACAGCAAATGTTGGTCCAAGCACGTGGATTCCTGCGCACCATGCACATTTGAGACCCAGATGGACTCCTGGACTCTGCCTGGCCCAGCAGGCTGCTGCAGGCATTTGAGGAATCAATCAAAAGACAGGACTCTCTCTCTCTGTTTCCGTCCCTTCCTCTCTCCATCTCTCTGTCACTTTGCTTTTCTAAATAAACAAATAAATAAATCTCTAAAACAAAAAGATGGCTCAACTTGATCATTCCATTGAAAAAAATAATCTACACTAACTTTTCTTTAATCACATTAAAATCCATTCCATATTGTCTATTTATCTTTACTAATATAGTCACATACAGAAATTATTTGGAAAGCATTCTTACGGTTCTTAGCACATGCTACTGAACATTTGGGGCAGAATAAAAAGACGAAGCAACAATACAGAAAACACAATCCAATTTTAGTTCCTTTTGAAAAGTTTGTCTTAAGTATAACTCTTAGGAGCTTTTCCAAATGAGATAAAAGTATCAGTATTATGTCACCACCTTCGATAAAACGTAGACAAGTACACACATACCACTGAGAGCCACAAGGTCCATCTCGAACTTGCCCTGACTGATAGACATTCCCATTGGATTCACAGGGACAGTCAGCTTTCAAGACACAACTGCCTTTGTCTCCAATGTCATCCAGTAGATAACCTAGTCAACGGCACAGAGAGGGACTCTCAGAAGTTGGTCCATACCAGCAAATGGTCCAGCAGTACTGCGATATCATTCCCCTTGGGCTCCTTCCTTTAAGTGCACCTGTGAGCCCCCTTCCTCCCGGGAGATGGCCCACTCCTCTGAGCACAGCGCCACTAAGCTCAACAGAGGACTGGAATACATGCTGTGAAATGGCAGGGACGTCAGCATCACAGAACTAAGACAAAAGGAGAGACATCCAAAGAGGAGGATGGCTCCAAGAGATCTCAAAGGCTGGAGGGAATTATGGCACCTCAGAGCTCTGACCTCTGCAGCAAACACTCTCAGAGTCTGTTACCTTCTGGGCAGGTGCAGCCGCTCACACATTCACTATCCTGGAAAGGAGCCACGTTGGAGCACGTCGCAGGATTAGAGAGTCCACACTCTTTGTAGATATGGTTTTCTGGACAAGTGGGCTTTTCTGCAAAAAGAATACAGATGTACAGGAATCAGAGGAAAATTAATGTGATAAATGCATAGTTTTCCAGTGACGGAATTTTCAACTGGGATTCCTTTCAGTTCACAAGGTATGTCAGTCTTTAAAGACAGTTCAGCAAAGTGACACCAATTTCTCACCCACTATTTCGTGATAAAATACTTTTCTTGAAGGAGATACATACCATGTATAATCTCATTTCATTTTCAAATGAAACTGATATTCTACCCATTTTATCAGGACTAATTGTACGACAAAGTGTATTCCTATTTGTGTGATGCTCATTGAAGTCACAGATACCCCTGGAGAAGCAAATTGCTCACCAGTACACTTCCAATAAAGTTTTGTTAAGCTTCAAACAATGTACTCATTTATTCATGACTTTTACAGGTTGTAGTCATTACAAATTTCCTAATAAACACCATACCACCTCCACAGCAATTGTGTCAAGTCTTATCACTGTGACAAACCTGTTTTCCCAGAAGCGCATGTCAGAGTCAAGATTTCATCATCCTACAGATCTTTTCCAGGTTTGGAATCATTTGGAAAGAAAGCTTTAAAATGTAGCTTGACTTAGAGACCTGCAGGAAACCCTCTCCATGGTGATCTACAGTGGAGTCCCAGAACCTACCACAAACCACGCTGGGATCCTCTCGCCAGCCCTCAAACACCCCAGGGCCGTCCGCGGCACACAGACGGGACAGCTCCGAGTAGGTGCCACAGGCGGCCAGTCCGTCTGCGCTGCTGCAGTACGCGTCCACGCACACGGCTTTGTAGTTGTCCGCCAGGGCAGCCACCTTCGCGCAATTCTCAAAGTAGGTCCCGATGATGCTGTCACAGTGCTACAGGGGAAACATCAAGTCTCACTAAAGCACAAGGAGGAGGGCCTGAGGTTGTGTGGTTGTACTCTGCTGTTACACCTTCGCCTTTTGCTTTCTCGTAACGACTTGAGAAATCTTTGTACCTAAACTTACGCAAAGTGATTCCAAAAAGGGACACAGACTTTGTTACTTGAGAAGATGGAAGGCTGAGGGGATGGTCAGTGCCAGGGCTCGAGGCCAAAACTGACAGAATGACACACTACACACCATTACTGCTCATCTGTGGTGTTGGATGAGCCGGCTACGTATCAGGAACCTTTCTGTTCTCGGTGGGCTCTGTGCCCTGGAGACAGACAGGTGAGTGCTTCAAAACAATTACAGAAAGTGTGCAATGCAACAACAAAAAAATATGCAGAGATTTAAAAATATTTGCATCAAAATGAAATCTTGCTTTAATTCCCATTTACCATGACTGTTGAAATATCTTCATATTTATTGTGGGTCAGTAAAAATTAATGGCACGCATTACTGAACCACGAAAGTTTATTTTTTTCAACATATTTCAACTACCAGTATTTGTTTTCTATTGTAATAAAGTTTGCTTTCAGAATAACACAAAAGTTACTGAATGTTTAACTTGCACCAACTAAGAACAAGGAGGGCTAAAATCACTCCCAGAGACGTAGAAAAATAAGGAAAATAAAACCTTCCAGGATTATTTTACCTCTATTACTCATTACACAGTGTTATCACTAAAGGATACATTGCTCGGCGCTAGAAATCTAACTTGGTATATTTTGGGATTAATGCACTACCTTGTATATATGTTGGATGTCAGTATTTTAGCACTGGTTTGAACATACGTCTGTCTGTTTTTAGACCTGGGGACCTGGCTGGAGCTCCTGGCTGCTGGAGCTCCTGGCTGCTGGAGCTCCTGGCTGCTGGAGCTGCTGGAGCTCCTGGCTGCTGGAGCTCCTGGCTGCAGTTCCAGCGGTGTGGCCATCTGGAACATGAACGATTACTTGGATGACCTCTGCCTCATTCTTGGTCTCTCCACCTATCCCTATCACTTTGTCTTTCAAAAATAAGTAAAATATTTATGAAAGAAAAGCTCAAGGAAATGGAAATCAAAACCACTATGAGATATTTCCTTATGCCCATTAGGATCATTATTATCAAAACCAAAATACAGCAAAAATTGGCAAGGGTGTGACAAACAGAAAAACTTGGTACACTGTGGACGGGAATGGAGATTGGTTCAACCTTATGGGAAGCAGTACAGAGGAGCCTGAGAACACTGCACACAGAGCTCCCTTATGGCCCAGCAGTCCTCCAGGACACACCCACTGGAGGTGAAATAACCACCCAGTGAGGACTTCTGCAGAAGAGCAAGGCAGGGAACAGCACCAAAGCATAAAAACAAGCTAACACTCTGTCGACAGACAAATGGACACATACAGAGATCAGCATACTGCATGATCTCAGAGGTGAAATATCTAAAAAAAAAAAACAAGTGCACAGAGATAGAGAACAGAACAGTGCTTATTGCGGCTCTAAAGGAGGAGGCGGGCAGAGCTGCCGCTCATTGGGCTTAGGGCAGCATCTGTGTAGAATAAACAAGCCTGGAGATGAACGTAGGACATGATTGTTATGGCTAATAAGGCTCTGCCGTACATGGAAGTCATGATGAAGGAGATGCCTTGTTTCCCCCCAGTATTATGTACCCCATATTATGCGATACATAAATTCACATTAATAAACACACATACACATAAAAAATATCATTTAAGAAAAATCAAAAAGCAAGGAGGATATGGCTGAGATTCATTACCAGGTAAAATACTGACTTCTTACCTGTACGCCCTCATCACAAACGTCGAAGCTTTTGCTAACAGCAGCCAGGCAATCTCCAGGAATTTTACTGCTGGCAATGTGTTCATTGATATCTTCCCCTTCAGAAGAAAGCAGGACTTCTTTTAAGAACCAGTCACAGATGCACATTATTTTCAACCTACTTGCAGACTTAGTGATATAGTTTCTCATTTAACCCTGCACAGTCTTTTGGCAAGTGTAATTTTTTATTAGAGTTACCCCCACATCAAAAACCACTTTTTGGTTGCTGTGTGTTTTGTAAGCACTATTCTAGGCATGTGTCATTACGCTCTTACCTGGCGTGCTGTTGAAGTTGCCACAGAGACCGCAGGTGGGGTACTGCTTGTGTAGCGTGAGCTTAAAAAAAAGTCACATCTCTATGTTTACAAAGTGTTCAAAAGATCCCACAACAAAGTTCATCCAAACTAAGGTCAGCGCGTACCTCCTAAACAGAAGTCTTGGGGGAACACTGCAGGGCCTTCTGGAAAGGAACTGGCTTGTAGGCCTTGCTCTACCTCGCTAACCAGATGTCATGGATGGGTTATTCCCCTGGTCTTAGCCTACCATCTGCAGCAATGAACCAGTGCTGGCATGTACTTGCATGTAACACAGTGGCTAACAGGTGGAGCCCTCTCAACAGACCCTCTGACTTTATAAAACATTGATTCTGGTAACTGAAGCTAAGGAACAAACAGTACTAGATTAAGAAAAAACATTCTGTTTAACACGGCCTTTTGAGTACATACATATATAAGTAAACTTTAAAAAAAAAATGGAGCTGACACTGTGGTACAGCAGGTTTATTGTGGTCTTAGGCAGCTAGTTCAGGGTCATGAGCTTGGAAGCCTCTCCTCCGCCATCTACGTGGTCCTTTCTGCCACCTGTGATATTCACGGATCATCACTGGGAACCTGGGAGGGGATGGTATTGTTGCATAACCACTCCCCTCACAAGCCTGCATAAAAGGCCCATGATGGGGAGTTTTTTCTGTTGGTCACGAGCTCTGGCACTCTGACTCTTGGCCACCCCAGTACCCGCTTCCTGCGGGCAGACTTTGAGGACAGGCAGCCCCTGAGCATGGCATCTGTATGTCTCTATTCCTCACCCTCTGTTCACTGCTTGGGCAAATCAGAGAACATGCAAATGCTAAGCTGCTTTGTATTTCTAATCTGTGCACTTTCAAGAATTCCAGCAGCGCTGAGGACTAGTACTGATGGAATATGGACAGAGAAGCCAGGGAAAGGTGGATGTTTACAGTTTGTGTGTCCAAGTTGTTTGCTACATGCCTGTTAAGATAACCTACATTGCTGAGGAAACTAGGACATAGATCTTCAGTTTAACAAATGGGTTTCATGGTAATGATCATTTGTTCCTCTTGGGGTTTCAATTCAGACTGGATTGCCACATGAGTTCATTTGCTAATTTCTAGTGGGCATTGCCATCACCAAGCTTGGTTAATAGAGACCCCATAATACATCAGAGATCTTTCAGAATGATATCTCTTGTACGTTGCAACAGGTTAAGTTGCCACCTGCAATACTGGTGTCCCATATGGATGCTGGTTCAAGTCCCGGCTGCTCCACTTCCAATCGAGCTCCCTGCTAGTGTGCCTGGGAAAGCAGCAGCAGGTGGCGCAGTGTTTGTGCTCCAGCACCCACATGGGAGATCCAGAAGAACTCGTGGCTCCAGGCTTCAGGCTAGGCTAGCTCCGACCATTGCGGCAAGCAGAAGGGAACTCCTTATCTGTCTTTCCCTCTCTCTTAATCGTGACTTTCAAATACATAGAGTTCCATCTTCACAAAAAGGAAAATACAGATGGACTTACTGAGAGTTTATTATTTTTGTCCCACATCAAAGACAAGATTCCCCTGCGGCTCTTCAGAACATTATGTTCTCCGTATTTTATAATGTTGATCAGCTTATTGTTGTATGGTATCTGCACGCTGAAAACACAAGCGCATGTGAAAGGTTGGCCTCCAATGACTGCAGCACTTTTGTATCAGATGTTGCTATATTTAGTGCGCTGAAGATGCAAAAATTCATAGTACTTATTAAAGTGCTCCTTGTTTCCTACAGATACAACAGTGGAAAGCTTGCAAGGAGAACTTCACAAACTAATAATAAATCTATAGAAAGCAAACAAATCAGAATGCTAAGCAGGAGAACTTAGTAAGGTGATACACCGGTTCAGACTCGCAGCAAATGATCAAGCAATTTGAAACATTCACTTGTGGAGTTTCATGCCTCATTTTCTTATCCTGAAAAATCTTCAAATATGTCATCTCCTCCAAATCTGAGTTGCTATTTCTAAAAATAACAATCTAAGAGTTTCAATCCCTTCAGATGCTAATTTGAAAAGCTTGAAATTTTTATGTAGTGTTAAACATGTAAGTGGAAATTGAAATATGTGTTCACAGTTTTGCTGAGCACATATGCTACCCCAAATTCAGGAGAGTGAAATGTAGCCACTCTGCTGTCCCCATCTTCTTATAGGAATAAATGTCTTATAATCCCCAAACAGCAGTCTCATATATTTATCAAACTCCTGTCCATAAAAATAACAAAAAGAATTTAGAAAAAATGCTGAAATGTGAAACAAATCACTTCTTCATTCCGTCAGGATTCTTGGCTCTCCAGCTTCACAGCTTCCTCCTGCCAATCCTGCTGCCTTTGTCCGGAACGCCCCAGAGCTTACCTTTCGCCATTAACTGAAACGGCACCAGCAGACATGGAGACATCGTTGCCATCAAGGAGGACTTTGATATTCTCAATCCCACTCTCATTGTTGCGTTTGATTTCAATGTTGAAATCCCCTCCAGATTCGACACAATGGCGGCAGAAGGTGTATGAACACAAGGACTCGAAGGCGAAGATGTGGCCATTAAATGCTTTGTACACCCCGGAACCCCAGGTAGAGGCTTCACCTGCAAAACAGACTCCGTCACTAACCGACAGCCATAGCTCCCTGCTGATGGGTTTTGAAAGGATTTATGGGCCAAGAAAAGAAGTCTCCAGAAGTTTTTATTCTCACAGCGACTATCACAAGTAATTGCTGTCTCTCCCTCAGTGTCACAAATTACACAAATAGCAAATACTGAAATAACCAAAATTGACTATTCTGTAAAAATACTAAACTGAACACACATGGTTTCCCATGAAAAAAAGGAAATTGACTCTAATGTAGAGAAAAGTGCCTGGAGAGAAGTGTTGGCTATTTGCTTGTCCTGCTTTCACAGAGAGCTTTTCCAATTGCAGTACCTAAGGTATCGTTTACAATGAATGACTGCAAAGGGTTGCACCATTTCACTCTACAGATATATGTTTGGGCATTTGAGTATAAATACCTTGAAAAGAAACAGTATCACTCAAACCACAAACAATAAGCTGGTGGTGAAAGGCAAAATTTTTATATTCATTTCAGATGTTGGTGACTTTGTGAGCTCCTTTAACAACTGGGTTAGGCACTAAAATGTATATGAATGCCTGAGCCATTTTACTTACCAATAATTATAGTTGTTTCTGAGTATGTTGGGGTTGCTTCTGGAATATGGGATCCTTTTCCTAATGAAAACAAGGCATACCCATTAGAGTTTGAGACACAGGGTTATCTTAAATACACAAGATGTTGGGATTTGTACATGGGAGTTTAGAAGCCAGTGTTGAAGACCACCAATGAGTATCCTTAATGCATCGTTTAACCTTGAGAGAGATGACTGCAACCCTGTTCCATCAGGAAGCACAAGTAAGCCTGTTATCTACTACTTCTCATTCAATTCTCCATGAATGAGGAAAACTCCTTTCCTAGCTCCAAGAAAATTGATTCTGTATATATTGAAACTTGAAGTTGCTCATGGTTGTTTATTACCAAGGACCCTTTTATGTGAATGAGTAACATTAGAAAAAATATTATGTCAAGGCCCAAAAGTGATCAGAATGGTCACAAAGGTAGCCATTCCAGAAGAATTCTGATGCATTTTCTACAGCCACTGCTTACTGTCTCTTGAATGAGTAGGAACAGGATGAATTCCTAAATTACTTACTAGAATTCATTTTTTCAAATAATGAATCTAAAATGCTAAAGAAACCCCAATTAAATTTGTAAGGATTGTCAAAATTAAAAAAAAATGCTAAAGAAGACACACTCTATTTTACTCAAATTCCATTAAAATGCTATTTATTTTCTTACTCATGACATAGTTTCAAACACACATCGGGGTGCTAAACTTCAATAGTTAGAGAAGCACTTTAGAAATGCACACGAGAATAGCAGTATCAAGGGCGGGAAACCAATCGTCCACAGCACATTTTCAGATTGTGTGAGGGGTATGGGCCGTGGGGGGTGTTCAAACACACAAAGTAAGAAATCAAATTACCTGGAGTACTGAAGGTTCCAGACGCAGCGTGTTCTGATGAGCTTGTAACACCTAAAACGGAGCATGATTAGCCTGTTGGCTGCATGTCATCTTACTTGATAAAGTTTGGCACTTTCAAATCTGATAGATTGAGCCTCTTACAACAGTGCTCATACTAGCCGACTCGGATCATGAGAAGCTTGGAGAGAAAAACACAACAGCAGCTGTACGACCTGCTGGAGTGACCTGGATAGGAGGCCTCTACACCACATTTGGGTCTGAGAAGCATTTTAAATTGTCAATTTCCACAGTAAAAAAAAAAAAATCATAAAAATAGTTTATCAACATAGTAATAACAGAAAAATATTAGAAAGTTAAAGTGGCCAGAAAAATAATTTAATTGAATGCAACCATCTTTGCCAAAGCTCTCCACTCTCACAAGCCCTGGAATTCACACCTTACCAGTCTCCACCACGGAGACCATGGGCGACAAACCAAACAGGGATCATTGCAAATGAAGGAGAGGCACTTGCTTCCTGCAAGTCTGTCTTCTGTACCTGTACCTGCGGTGGTGTCTGAATTCTCAGCATCACGACGTTTTCTGGGCCGGCCTTCATCTCCACTCAAGTCTGACGACGAACCAGAAAGAGACTTCTTTCTTTGAATGGAGCCACCAAGTAGCGGATCACTCAAGAAAAAGCCATCTAGGGTGAACAACGGAATACTGCATTCCACGCAGCATCTCCACACAGACGAGACGACTGCTCTGCTGACAATACTAGTCCAGGTCCACTCAGGCCTGCTTTCTAAGTTCTGCCACTTCGGCAGCTGTTGGGACAACACCCACCACTGGCTGCCATAATCACCACACTCAAGCCTCTCAAGACCTCAAGGCAGAAAAGAGCAGAGAGCTGGGAAGATTCGCAGAGGACGTGGACTGGCACCTCCTCCCAAGGACACAGCAGGAACACCCAGCACTGCCTCCTTCCCATCAGTGAGTTCTGGCCAGCCCCTCCCCACACCACTGAAACAGCACACTGTCCTTGGCTGTTCCACCTGAGGCAGGATTAAAATGAAGGTGTCATACCTGAATCGCCTTTTGACAGTTCTGCAAAGAAGAGAGGAAAATCAGGTATAGCATTCAGTTCCTTAGCATAACTGTTAAGGGTGTATTTGAAACATTTAAAATCGTAAGCCTGGTGTTGGCATTGTGACACAGCAGGTTAAATTGCTTCCTGTGAAGCCAGAACCTCATAGGAGGACTTGCCTGAATCCCAGATACTTCCCTTCCAATCCAACTCTGTACTAATGCACCTGGAGAAGCAGCAGACAGTCTGAGCACTGGAGTTCCTGCCGCCCATGCAGGAGACCTCAGTGGTGCTCCAGCCTGAGGCTTGGGCATGGCCCAGCCTTAACCACCATGACCAGTTGAGGAATAAATCAGAGGAGGATGGAAGATGTCCATTTTTCTCTTTATGTGCCTCTCTTTATTTCTACTTTTCAAACAAACTAAATCATTGATAAACCAAAAGTGAAATCTCATTCCATCTTAATCTTGAATAAGATTGGACTAGGATTGTTAGGACTAGGATTGATTGTAAATTACACAGACCACTAAAGAATTAATCTTGGAATATAAAAATCAAAGTATGGGCCTGGCGCGGTAGCCTAGCAACTAAAGTTCTTGTCTTCTATGTGTTGGGATTCCATATGGATGCTGGTTCTAATCCCAGCAGCCCTGTTTCCCATCCAGCTCCCTGCTTGTGGCCTGGGAAGGCAGTCGAAGACGGCCCAAAGCCTTGGGACCCTGTACCCAATTGGGAGACACAGAAGAAGCTCCTGGCTCCTGGCTTTGGATTGGCTCAGCTCGGGCTGTTGCAGCCCCTTGGGGAGTGAATCATCATACGGAAAATCTTCCTCTCTGTCTCTCCTCTCTGTATATCTGATTTTCCAATAAAAATAAAATAAGTATTTTTTAAGAATCAAAGTATGTTCTGCTGACACACATGTACCTCAAGTACACACATGCATTTTTCCTAAAAGTTCAAGAAGTTTTGCAAGAGCAAATAACCAGGACTGCTTTCCCATTTCTGATCTTACCACCCTCAAACACTGAGGGAAGATTCAAGTCTTTGCTTTGGACCTTACAAGGATGCCTGTTTGTGAGAGCAACGGGGCTTAGGTTTTCACGATCTCGAAGACTCGAGCAGAGTGACCCAAAGTGGAACACTGTTGGCCTGTTGTTTTCACATATAAACAACCCAAGAGAAGTTGTAAACAACCCAAGAAGACCAAGTGTGGCTTTACTTACCTGGTCTTCGCTCTGCTGTTTTACCACCTGAAGAAAGAAACAACCACGGTTACAAGCGTGCTTTACTTCATAATCCTCCATATCATACAAAGGCGATGAGAACACTGTTCTTTTTGTTCCCATCCTTCCTTAAAATTCAATATAAGCAATCCACTTCTAGTGTATGACAACTGGAAAAACTGAAGAATAGGTTTTATTTAGGAAAATCCTTTTTCTATTTAGTAAAACCCTTACAAATGACCTGGGTAATATATTTTCCTGTCAACACACTTAAAATCAGTATTTTTAAAAGGCAATTCAGTCTTGGAAAGCTGTGCGGACAAATGAATTAAACTCACGAGAAAATATTATCCAATACTTTCTTTTTTTTATAATATTTAAGGTATTGAATTATAGTGTACTTTCCTGTATAAATCTTTGCCTAAATCTTTTCTGGAGAGCGTTCCTAAGCAGTGAGCCATACGAAAGTGGGAATAAGACATGGGAAGACCACTAACTGCACAGATTGTACTCCAGCAGCACAGAATAACCTGGGCAAGTGTGAATAATGTGATTACACATACTGAAGATCTTCATCTTTTACAAGATTTTTCTTTTTCCACTCATCTGGGAAATTTTCTTATGTGCTGTACAGTTACAATCAATAAAATACATATTTTCCTGCTGACTATGGACATGCACTTCAATTTGATTCTAACAATCTCCAGCCCCCAATTTTACCACCCTGTAACCTTCTAAAAATGAATGAGGTTCACATTACAGCATAAATCTCACTGAACAAGGTCAACAAAACCTCAGGTATACTTACGCACTGAAAAATTCCACACCCAGCAGTACTGCAGGGGTACCCCCTAATTCCCACCAGGATCCCATGGACGTATACAAAAAGCTTTGGAGTCTTCCTGAAGCTTCACACCCTATGTCAAGTCTATCCTCTAACTCACTCTCTATCCTAACCAAGAATTCACTTTAGAAACACTGCCGAGTCCTAGGCTGACTGAGTTGAACGAAGTGACTTTCTTTTCTAGACTCTTTGCCTTGTGTTCAAATGATGTTATTTTTCCTGCCCTTTTCAGAAACAGAACTAAAGGATATGACATGCATTTATTTCTACAATTTTTTTCATTTTGCTCAATTTCAAATTTTATCAGAATCAGTGAAGTTATTTATCAATTAACTTCAAAAATGTCTCAGAAAA